TCAAGCCTTTCAAACAGCAATCTGTTAATATTTACATATAAGAGTGTTCCCTTTCTGGAACTGTATTTCTAATGACCCATAATATAAGATAGAAATATGTATAAATCTGTCTAGGGTGAGATTAGCTGTAATGCATATCACAAACTTAAATGTATAAATATAAGAAAATTATTAAGTGAACTATGAATGTGTAATTATTATACTCAACAAGCAGAATTTATGAAAAATAATCTTAAAACAATATAAATTGTCAATTACATTGAATTCAATTCTGGATACTGGTTCTTCCTTTTCCCCCAGATGAAATTCAGGTTAAGTCTCATAACTTTTCTGGTAATGTCCAGGTAATAAAAGATCCTTCATTAAAAAAATTGATATTTTTTCATATTGATGTTATTCCAAACTAGATCGTTCGGAATAATAGTAAAGACATAAAATCGTTCAAAGTTACAGTTATTTCCCTTTCCCAAGTATGTCAGAGTGGAGGATAATTTCTTTTCTGTTTTTCTGCACTGTGTTTTCCTTTTTCAACGCCAGTTTGGTAACTACAATTTCTGACTCCTGATGGAAGCAGAAGGGAGAAATAAAAGCAAAGGAAATGATGAAGGGAAGCTTTTACTGAGTTACCTTCATTGGGTTCTTGGGCCTAACAGGTTATTGAAGCTTGTGAGATTCTTTGTAGGATCCTCAGACACCTAGCCTTCTGCTGGGTTCTCTTTGATATTTGAAGCAGCCCTCATGGAGAGGATGGAAGATAATCATTAATTCCTACATGTGGCCAAACTCTGGTCCCCTGGAAACACGCATTCCCTGGAATGTGGAAACACCTAGCAAAATCTGGAAACACCCAGCAAAATCTGGAAGTTGAGGTGACTCAAAGCAACCACCTCTCCTTGCCAACAACAAAGCTGCAGGCCAACCCATTGTTCACAGTGAGAGATTTCAGAACTGAGTTAGACCCACCAGCTTAGTGTGTTCCCCAAACACAAAGGCAGGGAATACACATCAAGCTGTCTAAGTGGTTTCTCCTGCTTTAGGCAAAATGATAGGCGCCTCCCAGGCCCTCCCACTTAGGGGGAACTAAGACTCACAACACAACAGCAGTTGTCTCCAAATATCTTTCTGTAAATTCTAAAACTCCTCTCAAACTCTCCAATCTCTTTTCTAAGCTTAGGGTGTAAGGTGACAGTTAACAAGAGAAAAATAGTTTCCTGCTACCTTCTCATCCTGCTTGGCGCTCTAGTCACTTGGTTTCATACCTAAACCAGAGGCCAGAGTTAATGATAATTTATTACATATTTCAAAATAGCTAGAAGAGAAGATTTGAAATGTTCCTAACACAAATAAATGTTTGAGGTGAAGGATATCCTATACCCTGATTTGATCCTTACCTGATTTGATCATTACATATTGTATGCATATATTAAAATATCACACATGGTCTCCTTAAATGTGTACAATCATTATGCATCCATTTTAAAAGTCCAATTCCATCTTAAAATCTTGTTACAGATGAAATAGTATTCAGTTACTAACAGTAATCATATAAAAAATTCTGAAGGGCAATTGTAACACATTACTGTTAAAGCTATGAAGAAAGCTTGCAAATAATTTTTTTGAAAAGAGACTCAAATAACAATGGAGATAATCTTACTCCATTAAAAAATTTTACTCCATTGTAAGGTCAAATGTTATGATTTAAGGACATTTATCTGATACAGAAAATAATGATATGTATAATTTAAAATATTTACATATAAAATACTCCTAAAATATATGGCCAATCTTTATTTTATGTTGATCTTATCTATTCAATAATATTCAGAAAATGTTTATAATAACGACTTAGACCACAAGTTAATTGTAATAATAATAATAATAACAAAAAATATTCTAACTGCTTTGTGTATACTAACTCATCTAGTCCTTACAATACATTGTATGGTAGCTACTATGTTTATCCCCAATTTCCTGATGAAGAAAACAAGGCACAAACAATTTAGGTAACTTGTGAGATGAAGATTCTGTTGTTATTGGCCAAAATTTTTGGTTAGACTCAGAAAACTAAGAGTTGTTATAATGTTGTTGCAATGTGACTTTTAAGATTGCAATTTTAGAGATCAGCATGCTACAGCATATGAAAAACATTTTTTTGGAACCTAAACTTTGTAACATGATTCACTTTAAGTAATATTCATTAGCAGCGTGACTGTTGAATCAGAAGTGCTTCAATAATGTAGAAGCCTAATGTTCCAAAAGCTAGTTATCTATACCTAAGTCCTCTAATCAAAAATGTAAATACCTATATAATTCAATCATTTTGAATGAATTGAAGAATGCCTCCTGATTTTGGCTACAGAGTGTGGAAAATTATCCAAGACTTTAAATCAGAAGGCCTATAATCTAATCTAGTCCCTACCGCATATGAGTTGTACAATCTTGAATAAATCCCTTAACATCTCCAGGCCATAATCTCCTGGAAGATCAGCTAGGCAATACCCAACTATTTGTCCATGATTTTTGTGATTCTAGTATCTTCTGAATCTACTCACTGGTTAGCACACTGGACTATTCGGTCGAAAGGGTAGCCTAAATATGTAGAAACACAACTTCAAACTCTTTGTAACTTAAGGAAAATCCTTTAGTCTTACTAATACTTCAGCCTTCCTACTCTGGATTATACAAAAGATTAATACGATTATCCAAAAAGAAAGAAAGAAAGGCAACATTAAGAACATCAAGTTTACTTTTTTAAAAAAGTTTTTGTACAAAAATTAAGATAAAGAAACATCCTAATACAATCCAAGAAGCATACCCATAAAATGATAGTTTAGAATTTTATGAATTAGGGTTTGAAGGATTTACTTTTGCTGTATCTTTGCAGTCTCTGATATTGAATGTTGAATATTTGCAGAACAAGAATTCAAAAAACAGAGGGTGATGAATTTGTGCTCTCTTATCACTAGCAGGACAAATACAGCTATCAAAAATAGAATTTTGTGAGTTACTTAATAACGTGACCCAGGCTTTTATGTAGCAACTGATGCAATAATGCCTGCTTCTAAGGGTTTGGAAATATGCTTTGTGATCTCTTTTTAAAATAATTAAATATCTTTGGATATTGATGGCTGAAGTTTTTATCAAAGTACTTTAGATAATAAAAGAGACGTAATGCAGTACCCCGCATATAGTAAGTATTCAATACATACTCTTGATGAAAACTGTGTAATGTTACTAAGTTAAACTTTAAGCTTCATAATTGTATTATGCCTTGTAAAAATATTTTTAAAGAAAGTATGCTACAGTATTAACATGTGAATAGTCTTTGTCTCTGGGTAATGGAATTATGTATGGGAATTCTTTTCTCTACTTTTTTATTCTTAACTGTACTTACAAATTTCAAAAGCTAGTATATACTTCTCTGATAGCTAAAGACAAAAAAAAATCACATTATGATGAGCCTTTCCTCAAGAATGCGTTAATGATGTGGGTCATAAACTATGATATGTGATTCTCCTCCCACATGAAATTTTCTCCTTAGAACTAGAAAAATACATTCTCATAGGTGAGCATATTCAGAAACATATACACTTCCACCCAATGTGGTGTCTGTTGACATCAAGTTTAATTCTACTGCAACTAAACCTAAATGTATATTTAATAAAAATCACCCTCAAGTAGTCTGAATATTTTTAAAAATAGACTCATTATATCCAATATATATAAAATTTAAAATGTGGTGTGTATTAGCTTTGTTTACCCAGTTATCCTATTGGTAATCTATTTTCTAAAAATCGTTACAGCACAATTTTTATGAGGTATGATAGTCCCCTTGCTTTCGTAAACCAGTGATCATCCTACATAAACATCAAGATTTTTTGTTTTGTTTTGTTCTTCTCTTTTGCTTCCTTAGTCCCTATTATTGAGAAAAATGTATTAGTGCCAGGTCTTGGGATTATAGAATATAAAAAGGCAGTGCCTGACCTAAAGTTCATATAAAGTGGGTGAAATGAAAAAGAATGCATCCAAAATTTACAACAACAACATAAGGCAGCCTCAAATGAGCAATACAGCTGTGAGTACCAAAAAGATCAGCATTGTCTGTATAGAGCCTTAAAAGTGACAATGCTCTTTGACCTGAGGAATGAGGACAAACATTTAGGCATAACGATGTTCATCATGCTGAAATTTATAATTTTTTAGAAATTTAAACTTAAACATATCCTAAATATCCAATATAATATTAATGGTCAAATAAACTATGATCATTCTTATATTTTCAAATTATATAGTAATATAAAATTATGATTTCAAATAATTTTCAAAGACATGGAGAAGTATTCAAATTTTAACATTTAGTTAAAAATCTGAAGGCTACATATAAATTTGTGAAGAATATTTTAAGAAATTATTCACATATAATAAAGAATATTATAAAATAACAAAGTATAATCCCTTAGTTTTTCTTGTCTGATGCTCTTCTTCATTTTCTAAATTTTCTATAATAAATGCAGATCATTTTTATTACAAGGAAAAAATCTCGTAAGGCAGAAAAGATTTCTAAGGGTCATTCGGTCAGGAGTAAAAAAAAAAAAGAAAAAAATCATGGAAAAAAACTTCATGATTAAATTTGGGTGATAGGTCCCTAGGTTCACTAGACTGTTCTTTCTAATTCTACATATACATGAAATTTGTTTAATATTGATATAGTCCAATCCTTCTGTTTTGCAGTTAGAAAATAAGCCCCAGAGGTACACAATTATAAATTAGGGGTCAACAAACTATGCCCCACGAACCAAATGTGGCTACAGCTTGTTTATGTAGTAATTGCAGGCTATGAATTTTGTTTTTTTACATTTTAAGGATTTTTTTTTTAAAAAAAAGCCTAAAATATCAACTATTTGGCCTTTTACCAAAAAAAAAAAAAAAAAAAAAAAAATTTGCTGACTCCAACCTGATTCCTTAACCTAGCGCTCTATATTAGAAGCGAGTCTAGGTTTTAAAGAAAATTATTTAATTTAGTATTTAATCTTCTGTAAAAGAAGTAGGTGCATCCCTTCTTGTGCTGCCTATTCACACCAACTCAAGCACTGGGCCCTCACTCATTCATTTATTAATTCATTTGTTGATTCCACCACAAAGAGAGACACGTTTCTACCTTTATGAAGATTAGTCTCATAGAAAAGATAGAAAATAAACAGATAAAGAAACAAGCAAAGTAATTACAGATCATGGTAAGTGCCAAGAATGTGATAAACCAGGTTGTATAAAACAGAAAGCCAGGTGACCTTCTTTAGGAAAAATGACAGTGGAAGCTAATACTTATAAGACGAGAGCAAATGTACTTTGCAAGGAGCCAAGTATCCCTGGAAGATGGAACACACAAGCAGTACTCCTTAAAGAAAATATTTATAAAATACAGAACACTTTTGGGTAGTGAAGACATTAATGTGTCTTAATCTCAAAGATCTAGTGAGATTACAGCAGATAAGTAGGTGGCTTTCATCTTTCCCTTCCTCTATTAATCAGCCATGGACCTGGTGTCCTGGGAACAATCTCCTCAAGCTAGGAACAAAGTACAGTATTCTATTCCCACCCCTCACACTTTCCTTTCTATGTATACTCTCTTGTATGGAATTTCAATGAAATCACTTGTTTTGATTCTAATTTATTCAATTCTTCAGCAAATACAAGCCATCAGGTACAAAGGATGGCGCTAGATCAAGTCTAACTAGAATACCGTTTCTCTTCGAAGAGTGCCCCAAATTAAGTTAACTCTCCATCCATCTTTCCGGTTTGAGATAATGTATTTAGGTAATCTTAATTGAATGTTTCTCAAATGGCATTTTTTTCCTATAAATAATACAATAAAAATAACCTGAGGGCCTCGGGTTTACTAATTGGCTTCATCTAGACTGGCTCCAAGAGGAGCAGATGGAAAAACACTGTGGCATTGACATTCTTTTTCAACCACTGCACAAAAAATCCTAGGGACAGAAATAGGAATTTGACTTCATGGCAAAATATAGCTCCTGGGTCCTACTTTTTCCTCTATTGCCTGTTCTCGCCACCTGCTCACATCCCTGCTATCCAAGGACTTAGGTCATTCACCAAGTGCATGGATACCAACTCTTTAAATAGGTAGCAATAAGCATCAGAACAGGATGGGACCAGTAGATCATCACAGGGTCATGCTTCCCTAAGCTTATCACCCCAGCCACCCAGAGGCCAACTTTATTTTAAAGCTCAGAAGCAATCTTTCTTCTACTAGCCAGAGATGCCATAGCATGGTGCAAAAGACTCCAAATGAAGGAGCAGTTCTGCGAATCCCTTTATGGAGGGGGTGTGTGCCCAACATTTGTGGGAACTTCATTACCCCAAGGAACACAGATATGTTCCAGAAGCTATTATTTCCAAATAGCAATGAATTTCTCCTCAAATAGCCTCATAGGGTGTTGGCTATATGTGAAGTCTTTGATATAAGATTCAAAATCTTCATAAACTACACAAGGTAGTGTTTTCCCTTAAGCTAGAAGCACAGAGTTTGTCTATTTTATCAGCTTAAAAATTGGTGTGAACCTCATGACCCAAACATGCAGAAGCATGACCAGGTCTTGTGAACTTTGGACTGTGTGTGCTGACAAATTCACAGTTTTTTAAAAGTGCTATTCATTTGTTAGTACTGATTGGCAAATAAAATTAAGTGACTCTTCACCATCAGAACCTGAAAGCTTACCATTATGAGATACAAAGACAGCTTTCAAACAAGCTAGGCAAAGAAGAAATTATTGAGATCACAGTTCCTTGCAGTCATGAATTTGTATAGGATTTCAGCAGCTGTGATCCTTTATAACATTGTTAAAGAGGGGCTGAGCAGGGAACCAAGATGACATTAAATGGTACATTGTCCACATCATTAAATAACATCCAATCCCATATAGAGAGAATTATTCCACTTTCAGTTCTCCTTCAGGCTTTTAGGTGAGGAAAGTTAGTTGTTGGAGGTATGATTTAAACACCTCTCCAGGCCCTGCTAACCTTTTTAAGTCCCGAGAGCAGGACTAGAACGCAGAGCTTTTAGTAGATGACAGTGTCTAGGTAGAAGTTGATCATGATTTCGCTTGTTTGCAATTGTTTTTATAATTACCGTCCATTTGTGGGAAATGATACTGATATTCCACTTATAAGAACAATATATATTTTCTTTTTGGTATAAGTTTATTTAAGTAACAAAGTGAATCCACGCATAAAGTCATTAGGTAATTAACAGAATAGGTGTCAATTGGACATGGAATTGGAGATACACTGATTTTTAAAATTACAACAACATCCTCTTAAGGCTCCAATTGACTAACTCACAAAACATCCTATGAATATTTTCCTCCATTAAACATGATATCAAATTCAGCCTTCCTTTCACAAGCACCCTCACACTCCCACAGGACTACTGCAATCACCTAGTCAACCCTCCTACTCCTTCATAAATGAAATAAAGTCAGAAAAGATTTAGTGCCTTGCCGAGTCCCTCAGCTTGTCAGAAATTAAAATTCACAAGGGTGTTGTAAGGAGAAGAATGATTGTATAAAATTCCTTACATGCCTCAAACCCGGTGCATTAGATGGGATTATGTTTGGCATATGTTGAACTAGGAAAAGACAGAAGAGCAATTAACCAAACCAAATGTTCTTTATTATGTCTTTATCTGCACATGGGAAGTTTCTCATAACTTAATCAGATCTAGAGGCAATAATAATAATTAATTCCGAAAGGCAAATTGTATCTGTAAGTAAACAAAATGTTATTGGGCCTATTGAATAAATTACACATTCTGTAAGGATAAAAGCCCCAAATGGATTAAGGAATGACTAAAGTTGTCATCTAATTACTTCTTGGAAGGAATTTAGAGGTTCCTATAGATGGAAGCAGTGTGTCTGGGCACGTGCCCAGAGCCAGAAGTGAGCATGAGCACAGCAATTCCTGACCTCAAAAAAAAGGAAATAATGCTTTGCAGTCCATCGTTATGCAAACTTTGCTGGAAAAGGTAAGCAGAGGGTCGTAGAAGTGACTTGGCATTTTACAGATTCTCTTTTATAGAAAAACACACACACAAATGCTTTTTGTTTTCTAATTTTGAAAAACACTCAAAAAAATTTTCTGTTTTGTAATTTTGAAAGAAAAAATGTTTTGTTTTCTAATTTTGTCTATTTTCAAATTCAATATTCTTATGAATGACCAAAATCTTACATTATAAGAAGTTTTGCAAAACACAACATTTTAAAAAGCCTATTTTCTTTTGAATGCTTCAAATGTTGATACTGAATAATCCTTAAACATAAAGGGAAATTATTAAAATATGTTATTAAATGCATCAATTTGATAACATAAATTGCTTCTGCTTCCATAAGATAGTTAACAACTTCAAGTGAAATTAGGATTAATTTCCTTGGAAATAGACTTTTAATAGTCAACCTTCCCAAGTGAAACAGGAAGGTGACTCATAATTTACTAATAGTTGTTTCCTCAGAAGAACCATATCATACATTTTTTAAAGATAAAAATGTCAGGGCTTTGTAAAAAGTGAAACCAATAAATGAATTTTCAAGAGCCAAGAGCCATTTGCATCTTTCTTCATGATTTTTGCCATAGATACATGCCACCAATATTATTTATTTAGAATTCATTCAATCAACTCACTATTTTTAGTCATTTACTTTAAAAGTAAACTTTTTCTTACTTATGTAAGAAACCCACAGGTTTTGTGTGCTAATTATGCTTTTTCTAATGTACATTAAAATAAATGCATAATTATTAAAATAAGAAATATTGACCTATAAACTACCTAATATCATCCTCATATATTTTGGAAACTCTAGGCTGTATGATGATAAAGCTAAATTAATATTTGAATATTATGTTCATATCCTAGCTTTTCCTGTCATTGTTTCTAATTCTACATCTCTACAAAATTTCCACAACTCATTTAGTCTTTATATCACAATTTTTATTACTCTTCATACTTTAGGAACATTATATCTGGCATACACCTTGTAAAAATTGTAGAAAATAACTAATAGAAATAATGCCAACTTCTACAGTATATTAAGCCAAATAAATTCTGCTTTCTAAATTCCAGTCTAAAAACAGATTTTACCAACATGAAATCACTGATTTTAACAAGATGTGAAGGTGAACAAACTATACAAAATAGATAATTATTTTATATACAATTTAAAAATGAATATTCCCTACAGCACTGTTTGTTGTCCTCAGGCAATAAAAACTTTGGAAGAGACTAAAGGCAAAATCACATTGAAGAGGGTCCTGTTGGTACATTTTAAGGCCCCATAGACTTTCCTTAAACTATCTATCACATAATGAAGGATCTAGTATATAGGTGGAATACAATAGAAATAATGTCTAATAAATACTTTTATTCAATTTCACAAATCAATAACTAGGAAAAGGCAGTATAGACTCATGAAACACAAGTGACATAGTCAAGAGAGATGACCTCCATGCCTTGTTGTCAACTTTAAGAACCATACACAGGAGTTTGGTCACAGAACCACTGTTCTGGGCATGGTCCTGGTGACTGGCAAGCTGGTAAAGGCTTGAAGTGCTACTAAGCAAGCGTAGATTGGCCAGGACCCAAGGGAACAGGAGCAAGAATAAATACAAACCTGATCAATTCGAAAATGCATAGGAAAACATCTGAAACAAGTTTAGTTATGAAAAATACACAGTTTCTTCCCTCTTACGGAGAGGGGAAAAAAGAAACAAAGAACCAAAGAGAACCACAAAGATGATTACAAACTTGAAATATGAACTTTCCAAAGAGCCATTAAAGAGACTGAAATTACTACTCAGGAAAAAACAGGCTGAATGAGGGTTCATTAATTAATGTCCTTCCAGTTATGAATGAGCTTGTTTATGGGAAACAGTAAACATCTGGTGTCCATGATTGGTGAAGTTGAGCAGGAAAATAAATGTAACATACAACATGAGGATTTAAGAGGCTGGTAAGCCTGAGAAGAATAATCATCACAATTTTTGAATACTATATAGGCCATAAAGTTCACCAAATTGAGAACTGCAAGGAAGCCTGGAAAAATCAATGATAGGACCTTTATTCTAGTGTTTTCTACAATAAATTAAACCAGTATGATATTAGACAAGTTATGTATCTCTGGCCTTAGTTTCCTCCTCTATAAAATTAGTATATTGTGTTAATGTAAAAATGAAAGAGAGATAATGTAACTACAAGTGTCTTCATATTTTGTCTCTGCTGTTTACTGCTTGTATGAATTTGGACATATTTTATGCCTTGGATTCCTTGTCTATAAAATGAAAATAATAGTAGTAGCATCCTCATAGATTTGTTGAGAAGATTAAATGAATGTAAAACACTCAGCAAAATACCTAACTCAATTGGAGATAGTTGTTTTTGCTGCCATTACTATCATGTGCAACTAACAGAAGCTAACTCTAACTGGCTAAGTAGGAAAGAGTTTATTGAAAGGATACTGGTTCACAGAAACTTTAGACGTGGAGAATCCGATTCAAGGGTAAGCTTTTAACAACAAAACCCAAAACCACATCACATATTTGTCATGATAAGAAAATGTTATCTACCATCACAGAATGCTCAAAATTAAAGTTTGCACCATTTGTGACTTTTGCATCAGAACTCAATTTTAGTAAAGGAAACCATGATTGTCCATGGTTTAGTAAAGGAAACCATGGTTTTCCAATAACCATGATGGCCCCAGCTGCAAGGAAGGCTGGAAAAATCAAGTGTCTGTCATTTTTAAGTTCTATAGAAGAAGGCAATTTTTGCCCAGATTCCCCAGGTATATAACAAGTTCAAATGCTCAGTGGCCAAAATTAACTCAGTTCATTCAACCTCCATGCTAAGACTTATGGCTTAGAATGATTTATTGAGGAAGGTTTTGTGGGTTTTATCCAAGGTCAAGAAGATGATAGACATAATCTCTTGAAGACTCAATGGCTCCATCATGAAGGACTTGAAATATCTGTGATAGGAGGAAATTTCCAAGTAATCTTGACATATGAACTGAGTAATTGGGTAGGCTCAGCATCCAATATTTAAATTAAAGCCACTAGATTTATAGTTAGAAATTGTGTCCTCAATTGTTAATTTACATAGGTGAAGACTTTCCACCTATTTGTATATGACTCTAGAGAGACAAAGGTTTCTAAGTCTTTGATTGGAAAAATAAAAGTTTCCAGAGTTTAATAAACATTCTCTCATGAAAAGCAAAAATCTATATTCTTTTAGTCTGAACTATTAATACATTTGTGCTGCTGGGGAGAATGCTTCCCTTGAGGAAGACATCAGCTAGGAGGGAAAAGACCAGTTATAACTGGGCTTTATCTATTTTAAACTCCTCAACTGAGAAAATAGTGCCTGACATATTAGCAACCTAGAACCCAACTGTCCTTTCTGAGTAATGGACAGCTATTCTAACCCCATGACTAATGCCCAGTGTCTGTCTTAAATTGATCTGAACTTCGATTACTGGTACATTCCAAGACCAGTGGGTGGCTCACAGAGCAAATCTCCCCCACTGAGAGAACTGCAGGGCATTCCTGAACTGGTCAGACTCTTTACAGTCTCAAAAAATATTCTTTAGATTTTTTTCATGTGTTTATTAAAAAAAAGACAATTAATATGCTTTCTTGACCAATTATTTCAGATTATAAGCAGGTAAATCCTGCTATACACATCTTACGCATAAATAGTTAGCATTTTCAGCAATTATAGCAATCAAGCAAGTTGAAGATACATTTTAAAAGGTCAATCTGAGGGTTGTCTATTTATTTTCAAACTACCAAAGCTTTTCAAAGCAGAATTTCTGGAATTTCCACTTTACTATTATGGAATGAAAGTTTGGTTTCCTCAATTTGAAGGGTAAAAATACCACCGAATGTATAGTAAATTTATTTCTATAATCTGTTGAATGTTATACACATCAAAGATATACAAAAATTGGCTCAGAGGAATCATTGTCACCCAAATGGAGTTTGTCCAGGGGGGAGGATGGTAATTTGGCAATTCAGGTTGAGTATCTTTTATCCAAAATGCTTAGGACCAGAAGTATTTTGGATTTCAGATTTTTTTTAATTTTAGAATTTTTGCATATGCATAATAAAGATATCTTGGGGATGGGACCTAAATTATAAACACAAAATTCATTTATGTTTCATATGCACCTTACACACATAGCTTGAAGGTGATTTTATACAATGTTTTTAATAATTTTGTTACCCCTCACATGAGGCCAAGTGTGGAATTTTCTACTTGTGGCATGATGTTGACACTGAAAAATTTTGAATTTTGGATTTTGGGGTTAGAAATAAGAGATACATTTTTCCAAATATTTTATGTAATAAAATGATTGGAAATTAAAATGATTTTAAATTGTAGTAGGGAATTTACTATTTAATGGCATGATATATTTTTTCATAAATAAGGAGTTTTGTTTGTTTGTTTGTTTTGAGACAGAGTCTCGCCCTGTCGCCCAGGCTGGAGTGCAGTGGCGGATCTTGGCTCACTGCAAGCTCCGCCTCCCAGTTTCAGACCATTCTCCTGCCTCAGCCTCCTCAGTAGCTGGGACCACAGGTGCCCGCCACTATGCCCGGCTAATTTTGTGTATTTTTAGTAGAGACGGCGTTTTACCGTGTTAGCCAGGATGGTCTCGATCTCCTGACCTAGTGATCCGCCCACCTCGGCCTCCCAACATGCTGGGATTACAGGCTCTCTCTCTCTCTTCTTTCTTTCTTTCTTTCTTTCTTTCTTTCTTTCTTTCTTTCTTTCTTTCTTTCTTTCTTTTCTTTCTTTCTTTCTTTTCTTTTCTTTTGTTTTCTTTTTTCTTTTTCTCTCTTTTTTTTTTTTGAGACAGAGTCTCGCTCTGTCACCCAGGCTGGAGTGCAGTGACACCATCTCAGCTCACTGCAACATCTGCTTCCCGGGTTCAAGTGATTCTCATGCCTCAGCCTCCCAAGTAACTGGTATTACAGGCACGTGCCACCATTTCCAATTAATTTTTGTATTTTTAGTAGAGACAGGGTTTCACCATGTTGGCCAGGATGGTCTCAAACTCCTAGGCTCAAGCCGTCCACCCAGCTCGGCCTCCCAAAGTCCTGGGATTATAGGCGTGAGCCACCATGCCACACCAATAGGGAATATTTTAATGTATGTATCTGTTGTAAGTGGTTTCCATACATCAAAGGAGCAAAACGGAGAAATTAAGCTGATGAACTTTGATGCCTGACTGCCTGGGTTCAAATTCTGGCTTCTCCACTTCCCCACCATGTGACTTTGACAAATTACTTAATTTATCTGGGCTTTGGTACCTTGTGTAAATGGGATAATAACAGTCCTTAATCCATGACATTAAGTAATGATAGAGCAATATCTGACATATAGTAAGTGTTATATAGGTATTTGTTTGAAAATAAGTAAATAAATGTGTCTGAAAATATCGATTGCACATATTTAAGGTAATTATTGGTTGAGATATAAACCACTAAATTACCAAGGTTTGGGGTTTTTTCTATAAGCATAAAGACTTCCATTTCTCAGGTTTCTCTGTGATATCAAAGTTTTACTACTGGACAAGAATATTAGGGTAAGAAAAAAATACAAGAACTCTCTAGGCAAAAATTTAAATATTCAGTTAGATTGAAAACATACTCAGTTGTTTAAAACAAAAAAAAAAGGAATCCAGGTAAAGTAGAAGACTCATATGACATTTTTTAAATTACTATTTTTAAAAACATTGTAGGAATTATTATAAATAAAAAAGTGATCATGACCACAGACACCACAGACATCAATTAAATAATGTGATCCAAAGAACCTTTGTACTAACACTTACAAAATAATTGAGAAAGACTCAAGTTGGTGTATATGAAGATTTAACAGGGACACCACAAGCTGCTTTACTTCAATTTTAAACAACAAACAACTGTCATACAAAACAGTGTCTTTAAACAACTAATGTATGTCTTTTAAAAATCTACATAGAAAAATATTTGAAAAGGCCTATGAAATTTTAAACAGTAACTACTTCTAAGGATGAGTAGAGTCATACATTGGATAATTTTTCTTTTTACTTTACATGTCACCATGTTTTTTCCACAACATGTATTATTTTATAGCATAAAACTTCTTAAAATACTAGTTGTAGAAGTTAGTAATGAACTCCTGGGCTCAAGGCATCCTTCCGCCTCAGCCAGAGTAAGTTCTAGTGTTCTATAGCACTGCAGGATGACTACAGTTAACAATAATATATTCTCAATATGTAGTTGTAAATAGCTAGAAGAAGGCTATTCCTTGCGTTCCCAACACAAAGAAATGATAAATGTTTGAGAGGATGGATATACTAATTACCCTGATCTGTTCACTCTTTGATGTGATAAGAAGATAGATCTCTTAAGTATTCTTACTTAATGAAATTAAAAAGAAAAAAAAAACATATTGGCCTAGCAGTTTACAAGTTTTCACAATGTTTATCTCAAGCAAGCTGCTGAAGCACAGAGTGTGGTATTATAATCCACATAAAAAGCTTTATTTTTTCTCCTTTAACCAGTCCACTATTATTATTTGTCAATGATAAATACATTCCTTATTGTGAAATGATTTTGAAAAATACTCAAGGAAACTGAATTAAAGACTTGATCATTTTCTTCTCTCCTTCACACCTGCCCTGGATTTGCAGGAAAATGGACAAAGAAAATATGGTGGCCCTCCACCTGGCTGGGATGCTGCACCCCCTGAAAGAGGCTGTGAAATTTTTATTGGAAAACTTCCCCGAGACCTTTTTGAGGATGAGCTTATACCATTATGTGAAAAAGTGAGTCCAAGTTTAACATTTAATTTTTCTTATCTTTCAAGGGAAAAATACTATTCTCTTCACTTTGCTTTCATTCTCAGCCTTTTTGGTCAATGATTGTTTCTATTCAAATTACCATTCGTCAATTATGGACAAAGTTTCTAGTGATTGTCCCTTTATAATCACTGCCTTGACCTAGCTCTTGTCCTGTTACTGACAGCTTGAATTGCTACTATTTCTAATGACTTTCAAATCTATATCTTCTTCCCCAATCTTTCCACTGTCATGCCATCTAACTACAAACTATCCATCTACAATAATCCTACAACAACCTGTCTACAATTAGATATTGCTCCAACTTGACATTTTAGTATGATTTTATAAAGTACATTTTCATTTTAAAAGAATGTATACGTTTGACATGGCTCAACATGTACCTATAATCCAGAATGAAATCTTCTCCAAGTCTGAATTTTTCATCTACCTAAATGCATCAGGAAGATTAAGAATATGGCTTTTCAATTAAAGGAAGAATACAAAATTCAATTTCATTTTTAATAATTTACCGAGCAGTTTTTAGCAACAAGCACATTCCTGAAAAATTTAGTAAATATGATAATTTAGCTCTCTGCCTAAATGCCAAAATCAAATTTTGTGTGTATGTTAACAGCCTCAGATTCAGAACTGCACCTAATTTTACACATACAATCCCTGTTGGCACAAGGGCAAATGATGAGGACTTAATTCTGTAAGAATCTTATACATTGAATCTGAAAATGAGCATCAAGAAACACCTGAAACATAGAGATGAAACGTGCGCAAACTCTTTCCTAATAAGCCCAGAAGAAATAGGTGTTCATTACTGAATACATGGGGGTGGGGTAGGGTAAGGCTGAGCTGAGAAGTGGCCAACCACAAAGGTAATGGCATGTGCTTAATAGTACTTCTCTCCAGATATGCCCCATCATATTTATTTAGGTAACCCTTCCTACAGCAGCCAGCAATAGTAAATTGCTCAGTCTAGACTGCTGCAGGACAGTTGTGGGGGTAGAAGGGAGTATTATATGGGCAAGTAGAGTCACTATAGCCAGGGGAATAGAGTTCTCTCCTGCTCTGGAGGCCCTGGCCCTGAGTTGGTAGCGTTTAGGCTAGCATTTATATTCAGCCAGCAGACTGAGAAAATGACAAGCCTCCCAGATCATACGCTGAAACATACCTGTGTTCATTTTGATGTCATGGCTGAGGAAAATGACAGCTAAGAAGTTAGTTTGGTGAATGAGCATTCTTGTATTTTGTTTTAAAGATCAATGATAGAATAGGACCAACTGGAAATAAAACTATGGAGATTTCAGAGGACAATTTAGAGGGAATGGACATATACATCAAAAAAGTGCTCTTTATTTATTATTATTTTTTTTTTAGACAGTGTCTTGCTCTGTTTTCCAGGCTGGAGTACAGTGGCACAATTATGTGTCATTACAGCCTTGATCGCCTGGGCTCAAGCAGTTCTCCCACCTCTGCCTTCCAAGTAGCTGGGACTACAAGCACGTGCCACCATGCTCAGCTAATTTTTGTATTTTTTGTAGACTCAGGGTGTCACCATCTTGCCCAAACTGGTTTCAAATTCCCAGGGTCAAGCAATCCACCTGCCCTGGCCTCCCAAAATGCTGGAATTACAGGTGTAAGAAACTATACTTATGATAAAATGTGTTTTCATGTCTCTAAGATGTTCCAGATAATTATGTGATGAAAGGTAATTTGCTCTACTAAAAACACATTCTGTTAACTCAGGCTGAAATGTCACTTGGACACATTTTATTTAACTTAAGTTATCTCACGAATCAGATAACTGATCTGAACCCACATGAAAATATGCAAACCATTCCACATGGGATGCAAATGCCAAGTAGTACTGGCAGAAGGCAAACTTCAGAAAACATTGTGTGTGTGTGTGTGTGTGTGTGTGTATGTGTGTGTGTGTATCAGCACACGCACACATACATTCAGAAGTACAAATATATAAATTTTCTATTTCTATTACTTGCAGATCGGTAAAATTTATGAAATGAGAATGATGATGGATTTTAATGGCAACAATAGAGGATATGCATTTGTAACATTCTCAAATAAACTGGAAGCCAAGAATGCAATCAAGCAACTTAATAATTATGAAATTAGGTAAGCTCTGCCTCTTCTAGATTAAAAGTGAAAAAGACAATGCACCTGTATCTGTTTTTCTATCAAGTTTATCTAATATGGTATATGCCAAAAAAAAAGCCAAGCCAGAAATGAAACAGATTAATAATTTTCCTTGGCAAAAATAAATTTGATTAAATATTTGTTTAATATCAATACTATATGAAGTACCAAACTAAGTTCTATGAGTGTTCAAAGAAACAAAACTTAATAATTTGCCTGTTTCATAAATATATTTTGGGCAGTGTTCAAAATATTGGGAATATATCAAGGTATAATTTCCTACTCGCACAGCAAATATATAAGATCACTCAAAATAGTACGAAAAAAATCAAACAGGGATGGGATAAAGTTGTGTGAGAAGGTGGCTACTCTAATTTTGTGTATTTAAGAAAATACTCTCTGGCAGAATGAAACTTAATCTGAGATTTGAATGAAAAGAGCCAGTCATGACAGTCAGACCTTGGGAAGGTTATTTCAGGAAAGGAGAGAACATCAAATGTAAATTTCCCAAAGTGAAAACAAGCGTGATATGTTTGAGGGGCGGAAAGCAAGCCCATGTGGTCAGAGAGGGTAGAGAGGAGAACTGAAAGCAATACAGTTGGAGAGCTGTGTACTCAGTGGGGAAGTATAGATGAAGTATAGCAGTCTCTGTGGTAAAGAATTTGAATTTTCTTCTAATAGAAGGGAGGAAAGAGTTTTGATTACATTTACAGTTTTTTAAACATTCCTCTGCTGTTGGGTTGAGAATGTACTATGGCAAGTGAGATTTGAAAGAGGACACCAGTTAGAAGACTGCTGCAGTTGTCCAGATCTGGACAAGAGATGGTGGTAGTTGGATGAGGGGGTCAGTGGTGGACAAGATAAGAAAGGGTGAGATCTGGAATATATTTTAGATCGAGTACACAAAACTGGCTAGATGTTGGATTTAGACTGTGAGAGAATTCAGAATTTTGGGAGGAAACCTAGGATTTTCGTCCAAGTATCTGTGAACTTGCTAGTGCCATTGCAATGGAAAAGACTGGAAGGATAGCACAGGAAGGACTCTTTGGGGCACTTTACATTTGAGATGCACATTGAACATCCCAGGCAAGGTGTTGAGAAGGTGACTGTCTGCATTGTAGTGGAGTCAGGAGACAGGTCACGGTTGGAATATAAATTTGGGGGTCAGTTAAATATAGATAGCAATTAAGACTATGGGACTAGGGGAGAGTCCCATGTAACTGACTTTGTGCAACCAATAACCAGTTTTGATAAACTGGAAATAAAACTGATATCATGAAATTGTCTGATTTCTAAAACCTTCACTTGGAGAGGGAACTGTCATAAATTATTTCTTAAATGAAGCCCTGAGCCATGTGAGAGGAAGATTAGTACAGCAGTTACAAATCAATAGTTTTGGAGTCAGCCATGCTTCGTTTGAGTGCCACTAAGTAACTTCACCATTCTAAGCCTCAATTTCCTCATCTATAAAATGGGGATACTATCTATTTCATAGGTTTATTGCAGTGATATTATAACAACTTTACAGTGCTTAACCCAGTGTTTGGAACACAGTAATAGGTTGACAAATGATTTTTAAAAATTATATTTTTGCACAGTTCATTAATTCTAGATGCAGTTTTTTAAATATCTAATCCCTTTCTGAAACAGAGCTGCACCTTAAAATAGGTAGATCTTAAATCTGATGAACGCAGAAAGAGCAGATTTACCACAATTATTTTTCTCTCACTTTCTATAAGATGAAAAGAAGTCATACATTATCCTCACAGTCTGTAAATCAATTAACTACTGGCTCATTTTATTAAAAACTCCTGGGCTGGACACAGTGGCTCACGCCTGTAATCCTAGCACTTTGGGAGGCTGAAGCGGGTGGATCTCCTGAGGTTGGGAGTTTGAGACCAGTCTGACCAACATGGAGAAACCCCATCTCTACTAAAAATACAAAATTAGCAGGGCGTGGTGGTGCATGCCTATAGTCCCAGCTACTCGGGAGGCTGAGGCAGGAGAATCACTTGAACCTGGCGGGGCGGAGGTTGCAGTGAGCCGAGATCACACCACTGCACTCCAGCCTGGGCAACAAGAGCAAAACTCTGTCTCAAAAAACAAGCAAACAACTCCTTAGCCACAGGAAGATCAGCTAGATTCAGCAACTACTTGTAGTCTAACCATTCAGTTCCAAGGTTAGATTCTAGAAGAGAGTCTTGGAGAAAACATAAAGAAGGTTCCCCTCCCACAGGTGCCTCCATAGACCCGAAAGAGCTTTGTGTAGTATGTGGAGGATTGTTTGCAGTAGGAATCAGGAGACCTGGGATCCAGCCCAGGTTCCTTTGGACAAATGCTTTAACCTCTTTGAGCATCACTTTTATTATTGGCACCTGAACACAGAGATGTTCTGAGCATTCACTACATGAAAGAATATATACTAAAGTGCTTTGAAAGGGCTACAAAATGCTACATTATAGTTTTACGATTTCCAGAATTGGAAGGTTCCCCCATTCCTTGGTCTTTCATGGAACCTGGACATCGTAACAGTAATACCCAAAATGGTATCTGAGTTGAGATGGATATGGAATTGGCTCTGTAGGGAATCAAGTGGATTTGCTGTATCTACTTAACACATTGTTACCCAATAGGGCCTGTAAATATTCATAGGATATGAATAATGAATACAATCAATCCACCATGGCCACTGATAATTAACAGTATCCTCTGTGAATTTTAGTGCCTTTGTCTGTAAAATAGAGATAAAAATATACCTACCTCATGAGGTGTTTTGAAAAATAAATGAAATAATGTACATACATCTCAGTGCTGACACATACTAGGTGCTCTGTGAATGTTTGCAGAAGGTTATGGTGGTGATGATGGAGGAGGAGAAGGGAAAAGGAAAGGAAAAATATGACAGAAATTAGGAAGGGAAAGTTACTGGCCAGGATTCCAGTGAAAGAACAGGTTGGATGCCAGAAGCAAGGTAAAGGCAGAGTGTTGTCTTAAAAATTAGGGGGTAGAATAAATGGAATAAGACAAACCAGAATAAACACCCCATAGACAACCTCACCTACTTCCACTCTGCCTTGGGTCAGTCCTGCCAGGGAGAGAACTTTTGATGCAGAGAAGAAGACTTTAATTTGCTTTTATCCACCATTTCTCACCCACATATCATTATATGAGCTTCTACTTCATCAAATATTCACTGATCATCATCTAAATGTCTGGCTTCTAGAGACATTAAAGTTGTGGCCTCAGCTTTTGAGAGGAGATGGCTCTTTGTCTCCAAATAATTCCGGCAAAGGCTCCCGACAAACCACAACAGTTTAAAAATAAAATATGGAATTCTAGGCTCCCCCTGCTGGTAACTGATATATGACCGGCTCCCTAACTATCAAAAATAATATAATTTCTAAATACATTAATACTGTGGAAAAGGTTTTAGTGTTTTCTTTTTTAAATGAAGTTTAAAAAAAAAAAAAAACTTGGAAGATTATTTTATCAACCTTTCCCTCCCCTTGAGAACCACGCTCCTGGCACAATTCTTACTAGACTGAGATGGAGCTGTCACAGATCTGACACACAGTCCTTGCTTCTTCAGCAAAGCATAGGAGACAGCTGGGATAGTGGCCTAACCCTGGTCAGAAAACCTGCCACACAACCAAGAGCCATTCGCTCCACGGATAGCAGACAAATCGCCCGCCCACGCAGCTGGCTGAGAGCTTGTGTTCACTGCAAATGGGTCATTTCTGCTAAGCATACCTCACCCATTTTTAATAACTTAGTGTTATTACAAAAGTCATACAGCCTAATATGTCACACATGGAAAACATAAAAAAAGCATAAAGTAATAAAAGTTAAAACCATTTCTCTGTAACTCCATTGCCCCAAAATAACCACTATGTTGACATTTTATTGTCTTTCCAGATTTTTCTATACATTTTTAATCAAAATGGTCTTCACATATACTTATTTTATAGCTTTTTAGAGCCAACAGCCTATTGTGAACTGGTTTTTTTAAACCAATAAATATTCTTCTACGTTACTCTTTTTCATGACTGCAGAGCATGCAATGGTATGAATGCCTGTCTTTTGTTTATCAGTGATTCTCAACCAGGAGAATACTGTCCACCCAAGGGGGCATTTAGAAAGGTGGGGAGGCATTTTTGAATGATCTGATTGGTCACTATTGGCATGTAGTAGGCAAGAACTAGAGATGCAATGGTATGCAATGAGAAAATCTCCAGTTCAAATCCAGTAACATCTCAGTTGAGAGACATTAAACCAGTTCTTTACCGTGAGGTATTTTGCTCATTTCCAATTTGGGGGAGATTTTAAAGAGCAGTAATAAATATCCTTAAACATAAATTCTAGTGCTGATTTTTATTTTCCAGGGACATATTCCCAGAAGATACTTTATTTGGTCAAAGGTTGTGCACACTTAAGACTTTTGATAAATTTTGCCAAATGTTCTCCATAATAGTTTAATCAATGTATACTCTGCCAGTGCAGGTGTATATACCTCAACTTGCTAAGAAGCAACTCTGAACAGTGGAAGAAACAGGAACTAAGATCCCAGAGCTAGGTTTCATTCCTTATATTCTATAACATTTTAAGCAAGTCTTTTAATTTCTTGGCATTTCAAGTTCATCTGTAAATGGAAATAACATCTACTCTGCCCATCCCACAGTCTTTTTGTGTGGGCCAGATAAGATCATATGTGAAAATGTGTTCAAGTATAAGAGACTGTTTTTAACAGAGGTCACATCAGAACAGCTTTTCTCTTTGGCTGCAAAAACAAAGGAATGTCAGGTGTTGCAAACTCAAGTGACTGCAGGGCCAGGCAGGTGGCTTCAGTAACCTGGGTTAGGTGTAGGGGCCTCAGTGTTAGAGTTGCTTCAGGGAGTGGCGAGGATTCACAACTCTTGAATCCACATCTAGCCCAAAGAAAGCAGATGCTACTCAGCTTCAAATAGCTTTTTTCTTTGAAAATGTAGAGCACATATTGACACATCTAATAGTCTTGCAAAAGAAGCCACAACTCTACAAAAATGGTTTCAACACTATGAATCCAAACATCCCACATCTTCAGGCAACATCTGGCCCAGGGCCATACATTTTCAACCTGAATCCTACAAGGATTCTCATCAATCAAAATCCCTGCTCTTTTTGCAGAAATGGGCGCCTCTTAGGGGTTTGTGCCAGTGTGGACAACTGCCGATTATTTGTTGGGGGCATCCCAAAAACCAAAAAGAGAGAAGAAATCTTATCGGAGATGAAAAAGGTTACTGAAGGCGTTGTCGATGTCATCGTCTACCCAAGCGCTGCAGATAAAACCAAAAACCGAGGCTTTGCCTTTGTGGAGTATGAGAGTCATCGAGTGGCTGCCATGGCAAGGAGGAAACTGCTACCAGGTTAGCAATACCCTCCTCAAAGATGAGATTTCTGTGCTCTATCCTGCCTGCCTCCACAAAGAAAATAAGCATTTTTAATTTTTTTGGCTCTCTATCTTTCATTATGTTGCGTTTTAAATTTTTTTATCCTTCTTCACTATCTCACAGTTGATTCCATTCCCTGAAGTTTTCACAGACTTAGTTTTGAAAAATATTCGTTCTGTGCATTGAGGGTAATTTACATGCACTAAAGAAACCCAGAACTTTAAGTGACAGCAATCCTACGATGAATAAAGAGTCTTCTTAAAATTGAGTATATCAATCACAGTTACCTTTGTGTATAGATTTTGTTATCAGGCTTATTAGAATTAGGGTATATTCTCCATTACAATGTAGAAATAAAAACCTCAAGTGATACAATATTCCAATGACAACTAGGTGACATACTTTCGTCATGACTCCCTGTTGTCTAATAATTTCTGTCTAATTTGAGAGAAGAGAGATAAAAACTCTCCTTAGAAAGTCACCTTTATTTGTTAGTTATTACAACCACAGGATAGATCCCATTTGGTGAATAACTAGCAAATTCTCTATCCACCCCAGCACTGCCTCGGTCAGATCAACTTAGGAAAGTTGTTTAGGGTTCTTGACTCATTCTACAACATTCACTACAACTTACACAGGTTTTTAAATGAATACTAAAATAAGAAGATTTCAAGAATGACAGACTGGACATATTGGAATGAACTTTTCTCATGAAAATTATGAGAGAGCCACCAGAATTCAAAACAAAACAACCACAACAAAGACGTCTACATTTATGTTGCCTTTGTACACACTCTTCAAAACAAACCAATACTAGATCAGCCCCCTAGATATCTTCAAAACTAGGAGACAGCTTCTAGCTTGGGGAAGATCTTTCAATAATATCTTCATGAAGGCAACTTAAAGTGAAAAACAAAAGGAGACAGTTCCAAAGATTGCTGAATCTTTCTCAGAAGTAGATATTTTTAATGTTGAATCTTTCATTCACAACTTCTTCCCTCTTCACTGGCCAGCAGTCAAGTCATCAAAATCACAGGTCCATAGATAGACTGACTAAGACTCCTCATGGGGGCATACTTTTTGGTGACCTGGACATAGTATTTTGCTATCTGCTTCAATTCTTCTTTCTTCTTCAACATCGACAACTCTACCATTGAAAAGTCTTTTATATCCATCCTGTTCTCAAGCCACCACTGAAGTATAAACACACATATTCTAAACCTTATGTAATTTTTTTCAAGATCTAATTATTCTCCCAGCTCTGCTTTCTCTTCCATGTGCCCCACCCTCCGACTTCTCCATCCTGAACGTTACCACCAGATTAATGTTTCCAAAATATCCTATTATCCTTTCAATACCTTCTTGCAAACAGTAGGAATTCAATCTCAGGAATTCAATCTCTATCTATAGGCTAAATGATGTCTGTCACTAACTGGCCAGTTCAAAAATATTCATAACTCCTTGTTGTGTATAAGAATTAAGTATGTGATTTCATTATTTAAGACCTTTTATTCATTTCCTGGTCTTTTATGATCATATTTGCTACCTTCTATTTCCCAATAAAAACTCTTCCTTCTATCAGGACAGACAACGCAATGACCTAGACACTTCCATGCTTATGTCTGTCTCCTTTATTTCTAATGCTATATCCTCTACTAGGAATACCTGCCCCTCCTTCACTTGTGACAGTCACCCCAGTTCAGCCAGTACCTTCTTGAGAAACCTGCCTCCAGTATTCCAGCCCGAATTAGTCACTTTCCTCCCTCAATGTAGGAAGCCATTCATTATCTGTAAAAACAGATATGTGAAATAATTTTGGGTGTGGGGGAGTAGGAGAGTGAAAGAGGGTCCAAAACAGGTGAAAGACAGTTTCCAGGGTCAAGACAATCCAGTAATCCCGGAGAAGCTCAACCTCCTGAAAGCTTCCCCATCTCTTCAAAGAGAATGGCACATTGGCCCACTAAGGAACTTCTTTATGTAAGTCAAGCTGACTAGGCTGGCCAGGGCCTGTCAGATAAGCTTAGAAATTCTCAAGCACAGTCCTGACTTTTCCTTGTGGATTCTCTGTCCAGGATACACCATAGGGTATTCACCATGATCCAATGCAACCTCCTTACCTATGGCCCTTTGAGCCAGTCTCAGGTGGATTTCACTCAGCTGGATTTTAGTCAGCAACTAACTCATCAGCAAACTAACAAGATGAGGCACAGTGGTGAGTAAGCCAGCCAGAGCAAACTCCTTCGCCTCTAATGAGATCTCAGAACAAAACCTATCACCCATTTGGATCATTCTACCAGTTACCCCATTGCAGACTCACCCACGACAAAGGAATTCTGTAATTGCCAACCCTTTGAGAAGCTAGTTTAAAAGAACAAGGAGACTGTTGAGAAAAAATGATAAGTGAAGACAAAAAGAAACTTTTTCTTAATTGACCCAGACTTGGAGACAGAGACAATGGTTGTCTAAAGGGATGTAACTGCTCCTCAGCCAGTTACCTCCTCTCTAAACAGTGGCAGTTCCCCCTTGACAAATCTCACCTTTACTGAGCTCTTTAGAGGACAAAGTTGCTGCATCCCACTCAGAAACTAGAAAGGCATTCTAAGAATGCTCTGAAGAAAAGTCCTGGCAGTGATTCTCAACGTCAGGCTGCATCAGCATCACCTGGGAGGCTTGTTATAGCACAGATTGCTAGATCCCACCACCAGAGTTCTTGATTCAGTAGGTCTGGTGTCGGGCCAGGTAATTTGCATTTACAACAAGCTCCCAGGATGCTACTGCTCCCAGGACTGCACATTTGAAAACCCATTATTTGAATCAATGATTTTCCATCCTAGGCTGCACATTGGAATTACCTGATGTCTTCAAACAATATTAGTACCCATGTCAGCCTCTAATCAATTGAATCTGCATCACTGGAATATAAAGTTAGGGAACTGGTGTTTTAAGTTTTCCAGATGATTCTATTCTTCAGTCAAATTGTGTGATTCACAGCTAAATCTATTAGCTAATGATACTGGGTATTCATCTTCACGGCATGTAAATAGAAATACCTGGGAATCGCTCAGTCAGTAAATATTTATTAAGCATCTAGAACATATATTGCTCCCTTCTGAATGATATGAGAGAAAAAAAAAAAAAAAAAAAAAAAAAAAGGAGAACCTAACCATTGCACTCGAAGAGTGCGTATTCTGAGAAAACTATACACATACAAAAACAGGAAAAATTATTAAAAGGAGAGTGTATTGTTGAATCATCATTTAAAAGTTATTAAGTCTTATCTGCATCATCTTTTCTTGACCTCACAACAATAGTAGGTTGTAGATAAGGAAACTGATGTTAGAAAGGATATGTTTTCTAGCCAGGATCATTGTTCTGACATTTGAACTTGTCTTACTTCAAGTTCATGTTCTCAAATCACTCTGTAACACCCGCTTTCACCAGAGGCCTTCAAAAGGATATTGGTGGAAATCACTGCTTCCTATATTTACTCTCACGTCTGTTCTGTTAGCCTTATGCAGCAGTTCATGGTCCTAGGCTGAGAAGACTAAAGCTAGAGCAGTAGTACTCAACTGTAGCTGCATTTTAGAATTAACTAAGCTACTTGTAAAACTCCTGAGATCCAGCCCACTTATATCAGAATTGGGAAGGGCAGTCCGGAGGTCAGTAATGAGCTGGTAAATCTTTAACAGCCAGCTCCTAGAGAAAAAACAAAAGCCCTGATTTGTAGCATTTGCCAATTTCCATGGTATTAACACTCCCACTGTGGCTGATTTCAAGTTACCAATGTGGCTTTAACTGGCTCACAAAATTCTGATACTTTCTTTGTCTATTTATCTGTTGATGAACATTTAGGTTGATTCCATACCATGGTAATTGTGAATAATGCTTCCATAAACATGGGAATGCAGGTATCTCTTTAGCATAATGATTTCATTTGGGGAGAATATATACCCAGTATGGTGACTGCGGGATCATATGGTAGCTCTATTTTTATTTTTTTTGAGGAACTTGCATATTATTTTCCATAATGGCTGTACCAACTTACATTCCCATCAACAGTATGCAAGCATTCTCGTTTCTCCAAATCCTTGAAAACATTATCTTTGATCTTTTTCATAATGGCCATTCTACCAGGTGTGAGGTGATAACTCATTTTAGTTTTGATTTATATTTTCCTGATTAGGGATGTTGAGCATTTTTTCATATACCTGTTGGTCATTTATATTTCTTCTTTTGAGATATGTCTATTCAAATCCATTGACCTTTTTTTTTATTTTTGAGATGGAGTTTCACTCTTATTGCCCAGGCTAGAGTGCAATGGCATGATCTTGGCTCACTGCAACCTCTGCCTCCCAGGTTCAAGTGATTTTCCTGCCTCAGCCTCCTGAGTAGCTGGGATTACAGGCATGCGCCACCACAACTGGCTAATTTTGTGTTTTTAGTAGAGATGGGGTTTCTCCATGTTGGCCAGGCTGGTGTCAAACTCCTGACCTCAGAAGATCCACTGGCCTTGGCCTCCCAAAGTGGTGGGATTACAGGCATGAGCCAGCACACCTGGCCTTTTGCTCATTTTTAATTGGGTTATTTGTTTTCCTACTATTGATTGTTTGAGTTATTTATATATTTGGGGTATTAACTCCTTATCGAATGTATGCTTTGTAAATATTTTTTCCCATTCCTTAGGTTATCTCTTTCCTCCATTGATTGTTTCCTTTGCTGTGCAGAAACTTTAGTTTGATGCAATCCTATTCATCTATTTTTGCTTTTGTTGCCTGTGCTTTGGGGGTTATAGCCGAGAAACAATTTTCCAGACCAATGTCAAGAAATTTTCCCTTATTGTTTCTTTCTAGTAGTTTTACTGTTTCAGGTCTTACATTTAAATCTTATTCCATTTTAACTAGGCTTATGTGTATGTTGTAAGATAAGGGTCCCATTTCATTCTTCTGCATATGGATATCCAATTTTCCTTACATCATTTGTTGAAGAGGCTGTTCCTTCCCCATTGTGTGTTCTTGGCATCTTTGCAAAGATCAGTTGACCTTAAGTGTGTGGATTTATTTCTGGACTCTATTTTGTTTCACTGGCTTAAATGTCTGTTTTTATGCCAGTATCATACTGTTTCGATTACTATAGCTTTGTAGTATATTTTGAAATCAAGTAGTGTGATGACCCCAGCTTTGTTCTTTTGGTTCAGATTTCTTTAGCTAAGGTCTTTTGTGGCCCCATACAAATTTTAGAATCGTATTTTCTATTTCTGTGAAAAACATCACTGGATTTTCGATAGAGATTGCATGGAATCTGTAGATTGCTCTAGGTAGTGTGGACCTTTTAACAGTAATAATGCCTCCAATCCATGAACATAGGCTATTTTTCCATTTATTTGTTTCTTCTTTAATTTTTTATCAATATTTTATAGTTTTAAGTATACAGATCTTTCATCTTGTTGGTTAAATTTATTTCTAAGTATTTTTGTGGGGGGGATGGTATTATAAATGAGATTGTTTTCTTGATTTCTTTTTCAGTTTTCTTGATTTCTTGTTGTTAGTGTATAGAAAGGCTACTTACTTATGTATGTTAGTTTTGTATTTTACAGCTGTACTGAGCTTATTAGTTACAATGGAATATTATTCAGTCTTTACAAAGAAGGAAATTCTGTCATTTGCAACAACATGGGTGAACCTGGAGCACATTATATTAAGTGAAATAAGCCAGGCACAGAGAGACAAATATTGCATAATCTCACTTACATGTGGAATCTAAAAAGTTGAATTCATATAAGCACAGTGTTGAATGGTGGTTACCAGGGCTGGAGGCAGAGGTATGGAGAGATATTGGTCAAATGATACAAAGTTTCCATTAAAATGAATAATTTCTGGAAATCTATTGTATAATATGACTATAGTTAATGTATTTGTATACTCGAAAATTGCTAAGGGAGTAGATCTTAAATGTTATCACCACAAAAAAAAGTATGTGAGGTGATGGATATGTTAATTAACTTCATTTAATCATTTTACAATGTATACATGTATCAAAACATCATGTTGTATACCATAAATAGATGCAATTTTGACTAATCGTAACTTTAAAAAGTGTGGAAGGAGAAATGCAAAAATAATCTATTTTTGCAAGTAGAGAAGAACTGGCTCTAGTACATCATTGGGTGGAATCCAGTTTTCATTATTTTTTAAACCTCACCCAATATGGGGCCAAGGATAAGCTTGGCCAAAACCAGAGCTACCAAAACCAGAGTTACATGGGAGCCTTGGGGATCTTGGGGATCTTGGGATAATACAAACAAAAAAAGTCTAATGTAAAGCATAAAAGGGGAAGGGAAGAGAGTAATGAAGAAAACTAGCCCCTGGAATGCAATACAGAACAAGACGGTCACAGCTAGGGTAACAAGAGCCAGCTTCTCTAAGGTCGGTTATCTCTTAAGACATGCCTATTCTCCATTTGGGTTTTAGAATGCCAGTGCCGCGGACACTTTTACTGACTGCTTTTCAAGAAATATAAAGATACATTCTTATTGAAAATAATTGCTTCCCATGTGTAGTAATTAAACAAATAAACCCTTACCAATACTGAGTATTCCTGACTTTGTTCTCTTAAGCTTTGTATTGCTTATGGGATAAAGTTTGTTCCCAAACAATGAATAAAAAACAAACTAGATTTCCAATGAAATTTAGAACTTGGGTTGACTCTCACTCCCCTCTCATCACTTCAACAAGATCTGCACTGTGTAGGGGTACAGGAGCAGAGTCACCAAAAAACCAAACCAAAACAACAACAAAAAAGGGGGAGGCGGTTAAGTAGAACAGGTCTGGGAAAGTTATCCTCTCTAAAGCTCATTTCCCATTCTGTAAAATTGGGAGTCATTCACTTCCCCACAGGGTTACTGTGAGAAGGAACTGAGATAGCACATGAAAAACAGATGGTACAGTACAAGACACTCAATAAAATGTGTTTATAGTAATACAAAAATATATGTAGCCATGGAGAACAACTACCCTTTTCAGAAGAGTTAAATTTTTCATTATAGACTCTTCCATTGCTTGTCATCTGTCTTCTTAATTAGGATTTTTTTAAAAATGTCTCCAGATTCCAGATTTATTCATGTTGTGAAAGAGGATTAAGAGGGAACACAGCTGGTCTAAGCCTTGACCAAGTGTGAGGGACAGAAAACAAGCTAAGGATGCCTGAGCCCCACCCACCTTTGCCGAAACACCATTTTTTGAACATCTCAATTGTGGTACTTAGCCTAATTAACAACACAGATTCAAACGGCAGTAAATACTCTTCCTAGTAACCTTCTTAATGTTCTGTGGAGTCAGACTCTATATCTGGGCCCTAAATCCATACTTTTCCTTTCTCCCTTTTGCTATCTTACCTTAAGTGACTACCTTCATCCAATGAGTGTTGTTGTAAGAGCCAAATGTGCCCTCTGCTGCCTCATTTCTGTTCAACCTCAAACCGCATCCTGGTTCCCCTTATAATCAATAGTTATAACAAGTCACTGGTCACACAGAACTCCCTTCTAGTCAGTTACTCCATTTATTTGGAATGTCTCTTAAGATCAATACTCACCAATTTTAATGGTCTTCTTGCTCATTCAAGACCTCAAGGGTCAGGCCAATTTAAAAGACCATCAGTATAAACTGAGATGATGTTGTCCTGATTTGTACATAATTAATCATAATTGTGATCATTTTCAACAGGAAGAATTCAGTTGTGGGGACATCCTATTGCAGTAGACTGGGCAGAGCCAGAAGTAGAAGTTGATGAAGATACAATGTCTTCAGTGAAAATCCTATATGTAAGAAATCTTATGCTGTCTACCTCTGAAGAGATGATTGAAAAGGAATTCAACAATATCAAACCAGGTAGGACATATATACAAGATTAGTTTTTCAAAACATTCTTTAAAAGCACCTATGCTTGCGATGACTTCCCATAACTTTAAGTAGAAATGCTTTTATTTAGCTCATCTCATAATTGCATGCAAACCTCTCAAACTATGTTCCTAACTTTGGATTAGAAAATCAGGCCATATGGTCCTATAATATTTATCAATATTATAATTTTATATTTATCTATGTGATTATTTAATGAATACCTATTTTCTTCACTAAACTATAAATTTCGTGAGTTTTTTTTCCCCTCTTATTGTTTCCTCCTTCCTTGGACATTTAAGCTCTGGGGTACAACGATTGCTCAATAAATATTTACTGTAATAAACAATGCATGCCATAACTATATGTCTGATGCAGGGTTTCTCAGCCTCACCACTATTGATATTTTGGAACAGATCATTCTTGGCTGTAGGGGTCTGTCCAGTGGATTGTAAGATGTTTAGCAGCATCCCAGGCCCGTCCCTGTTAGATACCAGTAGCAACCTCCAAGATGTAATAATCAAAAATGCCTTCAGACATTGCAAAATATACTCTATGGGTGGGCAAAATTGCCCCAGTTTAGAACCACTGGCCTAACGGAATACACTTGTGACATAAGTAAAAGGTGACAATCCTAGGAACCTCATTTAAATGAAGAGGAAGGGAAAGGAATAAAGGGAAGGTGGAAGGGGATAGTTAGTTGCTACTCATCTTGCCAATATTTTTCAGTATCAATTCTAAGCCACCAGATTGACTTCCCATCTCTTTCTTTTCCATATAGGAGCTACAACACTGAGAGAGGTAGAGCATTTCAAGAAACAATGTGCAAATTACCATTTCCCAAAAACAGTTCAGAACATTAATTCTATAATCTTTTGGTAGATGTTACTGATAAAAGTGCTCCATGGTCAAATAAACTTGTAAACACCAGATTCTGCAAAATTAAATTAATTTCTTCATTATGGAACTTATCAGTCTTTAGCCTTCTGACATGCTTTGAAATTCTCCGAGATACAGAAAGCTTCATTTTTCAAATTTCTGAAGCACGACTGCTCTTTGTTGGCATATCATCTTGTGGGATTACTGTGTCTTTAAACACACTCTGGGCAGCAGTGGCTTAGGGTTATCATAGTAGTAATATCCTTTCATAACTGAGAATGTCCCAGCCTCCTGGCAAATTCTATAGGTTGTTAATAAGCTTAGGCCATGGTACTGTCATGTTAAAGCTACCTGAGAATACTCACTTGCACATACTCAAATTGTCTGTTTCCAACTCTGGGTGATATTTCAGATAGAACAGAATGATAAGCTGATGATTTGCTCTGAAGGATATTCAGTAAGGATGTCACTGCTCCATTTTGAAAGACTCACCAAGGATCTTTCTCCAGCCTCAAGAACTCTGCCTTCCCTGAAATATTAGTGTCATGGTGTGACTCCACACCAACAGCTGTGAATCCATGACTAAGCTAGAAACTGCAAACGATGGACTACCTTACTGTGTGCCAAGCATTGCAGTGGGCCCTTTCACAGCATGTGTCATTTATTCATCACAACTCTATAATACAGGTTGCTGTATTCATTCCATTACTTTATAGATAAGAAAACCAGGACCCAGAGTAGTTAAGTGGTTTGCCCAGGGTCACACAGCTAGCAGGTGGCAGATCCTGGATTTGAACTCGAATCTGGTAAAGGACATGTTCTTAAAAACTTTAATACTCTCATGCCCAATCTTTATTCCATTCACTCACTCATTCATTCAACTGTCTTTCCTTCAGTAGCTCCTATGTGCGAGGCACTGGGGAAGGAACCAACAAGTATGATGTGTGCGTGGAAAAAGTTTAAGAAATTCCAGAAAAAATACATCTTAGACAGTCTAGTCTTGGAGTGAAGAGAAGATTTGTGTTTCGAAGTGACATCTAAGCTGAGATCTGAATGTTGATGCAGTTGTAGGCATAGGAACCATAATGTGTGTGTATAAATATTGCCCACTATTCTCCCCTCATTGCATGTTGACTTTCTACCTTCCCAGAGTGAATAATACTTCTTATTTTTATCTAATTAAAACAGCACCCTTTTTTTGCCAAGGGTTAGAATGAGAAACTACTAAAAGGCTGCTTCCTTTCCTAGTCCCTGGTCATTAGCTTTCCCAGTCTGTGTATTGGCATATATTGAAGAGACATGTGTGCCCGAATCCTACTAATTATCATGAAAATAATGAACGTCACATATCTCTCTGTTGCTTGCTCTCTCACTTTCTCTTTCTTCTTGGGACTAAAGTGTGTCCAGAGATTTCAGGTCATAGTCTGCAGCTGGTGGCACAACTCTCGGGGCTATATAATGATGTGTGGCTTTTTCTTCCTGGCCCTCTGCAAAAAAAAATATGAATTGCTGAAGGTGAACAACTAGCAGACATCTGCTGCATTGAGAGGGAAACGTCAGAGCTAACTAGTTTGTTTCATCTTGGAAAGTATGTACTGTGCCAAGGCTATACTTATCTAGAAAAATTTATGGAAAGAAACAGGAAAATGACTCTTTAAAAATTCCATTTAAAGTTTAGGTCCCTCAGAGGAACCTACCTATTACCTCAAAATATTTGACCATGTATCATTTTAACCATGGTGAACTTGAATAATACTATATTGCCACTCAGAGACATAAATGACAATTAGAACAAAAATTGGGATCTGAAGATGGTTTGTTCTTCCCTACTGTAGCCTAAGGGTATCTGCTGAATTTCCCATTATAGTCATTCTACAAAATCTGATCTTCCTACAAGAGTTTAGCAGTATTAGAATCACCTGAAGGGCATGTTAAATCGCTGATTGTATGGCCCATCGTGGGTGGGCTCAAGCATTTCCATTTCTATTAAGTTTCCAGGCAAAGCTGATTCTGCTGGTCTGGGGACCACACTTGGGGAACCATGACCCTCTGATAACCTTCCCTTTGGCGTGCAGGTGTATTTCTCCTCAGGTTTATGTGTTGTGACAAGTTGATAATAAACACAGCAATAATTTTCCAATTCCTTGCATCATGATTTCAGAGGATCTTTTTCTTCTTTGCTAATGGATGATTGGGTAATAATGATCATTCATATTCTGTGGACTCACCCTCTGCCAGATGAGGATCAATTATTAAACAAACTCCTATGCACTAAAGAAGAAACATATTAAAATAAGCCATGTGGTGAATGCTATTGTAGAGAAAACCAACTTTTATGACACAAACTCTAACTTTTTAACTTGTCTGTTTTATAAGACTAAATTTTTAAATATCAAATTTTCCAAAACCAGATGCATCTGGAAATTATCCAACAGTGTAAGATAATTTGAAATATCTGCAAACAGAATTTCAGAAAATCTAAATTCATTATCATCTGAAATGCCACCTAACTGGTGTAGATGACAGAAGTTGGGGTTTGAATTAACTGATAATATTCCCTTATTCCATGTGTATTTATAGAGTAACTCCTGTGTCCAAGGCAGTAGGCAGGAACCAGGTGAAGATGATACCACAAAGTCTCTGAAGCAGGTCCTCGTCTCAGGGAGATAACAGACCAGGGAGTCTAGGTGGAGAATGACATTGAAATATGAACTGAGCAAAGACTGGAAAGGTGAAGGTCATCATTGGCCAATGTCTTTCTTCTCAATTACAAAAACGAGTCATGGGATTGAGTCATGATCATCACCCCGTGTGACACTGAAAGGAGTGAAGAGACCATATTGGATATTCAGTTAATTATATGTCCCATGCTTCATGGTCTCAGAGAGCTTTATTTATCCTTAGCCTGGCCAGATGATTTTGCTCTGTATAACCATTGCCATAAGAAGTCAAGGGTCGAATGTTGAAGGGAGTGTAAAGAGAAGTATCACAATGTCTTTAAATTGTCCTTATGTTACAGGTTCACTATTATTCCAAAGGAAGATAATTCTTAGTCATTGAACCATGTGAGAGAGTAAAAACTCTAATTACCTTTGTTACCTTGAATCTAAGAGGATAATGAAACTTTGATAGGGACAGAAAGGACTTCCCCCTCTTCTTTTCCCTGGAATAATGTCTCATCCTATGTTGTCTCCCTAGACTCTCAAGGTACACCCAAGTGAGTGTAGGGTAAAAGAAGATAATTGGCATGCTAAACTAACAGTGGTTAAACAAATTTCCACCTTACCTTCACTCTAAGCAAAAGGTCTATTTTTAAAATTGAGTAAGCAACAACATTTTAAAAATACAACATCCAACTATCTCGGTACAACTATCTTTTTCATTTTTATATGTTGCTATCATGTTCAGCAGTTCCTTTACATAAAAATAGATGGTTTGTTTGGGTTTTCTACACAAATAACATAAATAAATTTTGCAAATATTTGTAAAATGCCAAATATATCAATTACAAAATGAAAATCCCCTTCATTCTTCCCAACTTTTCTCCCCATTCCTGAAGTAACCCCTGTTAAGAGTTTGGTCTCTATCTTTTCAGTTTGCTTTCTGTATAAGTGTATTTAAATTTTGTGCATATATATACAGTTTTGGATTATTAAAAACACAAATGCTATAATATTGTACTTGCTATTTTATAACTTTTTAAAACTTAACAGTAGATCTTGGGCCAGGCATAGTGGCTCATGCCTATAATCCCAATACTTTGGGAGGCCGAGGTGGGCAGATTACCTGAGGTCTGGAGTTCGAGACCAGCCTGATCAACATGGTGAAACTCCTTCTCTACTAAAAATACAAAATTAGCCAGGCACATGGTGGCACATGCCTGTAATCCCAGCTACTCAGGAGACTGAGGCAGAAGAATCGCTTGAACCAGGGAGGCGGAGGTTGCAGTGAGCTGAGATCGCGCCATTGCACTCTAGCCTGGGCAACAAGAGCAAAACTCTGTCTGAAAAAAATATATATATAGGTCTTTAATCTTTGCATGTAATCACATACAGGTCTATTTTCTGTATAGACTCCTTGGTGTTGGTATAAATGTAGATTTAATCACTCATGAAAATAGACATTAAATTGTTTTATTTTTGCTCTTTCAACAGTAGTGTAATTGATATTCTTATGCATGATTCTTGTACATGTGTGTGAGTGTTTCTGTATGAGACATTCCTCAAAGTAGAATAGTAGATATTTACATTGTTTCCAGTCTTTAGCTATCATGACAGCAAGGCAGGCAACTTATCTTGGTTCCCAGATGTTCTTGTGGAAACAACTTTCTTTTTCTTCTTTTTGCTTTTCTATTTAAAGATTAATGGATAAGGATATAGGGAATACAATTGTAGTTCCTCTCTGTGTGGACTCTAAATCTCAGTTACCTTATCAGAACTGTAGTTACCTAATATTTAAGTTTTAAAAAGTAAATTAAAGTTAATTACATAAGACAAAAGAGATAAAGACATTTTGCTGGGATGAAAAGCATAAAACTTAAAAAAGTAATCACCTAAATATACGTTTGTAAAATGATCAGTAATTGAGTTCAACTCAAGAAATATTTTGCCATGCAAAAGGTACTATCTTTTACATTACATAAGATGCAAAGGAAGATGGAATTCCTATGCTTAGAGACCTTATAATCTAGGAAGTGGAAAACACAAATCCATAACAAATTATAATAAGTCAGAATATAAATTTTATTTTTAAAACTGCCAAAAAAACATCTTCAGTTGAATGTTCTTGATGAGATCCTTTCTTAAATATGAGATATCCATGAAAAAATCCAATACTCTTTGCAGCTAGGTGCTAAAATGTATCACTTTCAGGGCTCTCTTAAGTTTGTTAATGGGGCAACTTTCACTCTATTTTACAGGTGCTGTGGAGAGGGTGAAGAAAATTCGAGACTATGCTTTTGTGCACTTCAGTAACCGAGAAGATGCAGTTGAGGCTATGAAAGCTTTAAATGGCAAGGTAAGGTAGAACAAAGAAAAAAATATGCAGATTCCATCCAAGTTTGGTGCGGACATTACATTCAAAAGCACAGTCCTGCGAGTCTGTCTCACTCCAGCCTTCTCTGACATGGCTGCCTCAGTCCATTTAAGATGTACTAAAGAGAAATGATGGAAAATACAATGGAAATTGGAGATGTACCTAATATATCTAACTTTAGCTCTATTTTTTTTCTAATTTGGACAAGGCACTGAAACTCAATTTCCATGGAAAGAGGAGATTGAAGTAGATTATTTCAAGGTGTTTTTCACAATTCCAGTTTTCTCTCATTACTTCAAAGAGATTATCATCATTTTATTGCAGTATTTTAGAAGCTGATGAATTAAAAACATGTCAAGATAGCTGTTATTCTGCCTTCATAGTTTGATCTTCCACTGGGAAAGCTTAGAGTCTCTCACCTTGCCAAGAGTCGGTGCTGGGGAAGCTTCTATATCCTCACTACTGAGTTGTATACAGAAACCAATATAATATTTATGTATCAAGCCAATAAACATTTAAAACCTTCTGTAGACCACTTATCATGCTAGGATACAGAAAGAATCAAAGATGTTTGACAAACAGTTAAAAGTTGGTTGGAGGAATAAGACAACTACACAAACATGTGCAAAGTACAGTCAAGTAAATATCATAAAAAGAGATCAACGTGGTGAGCAAGTTCAAAGGAAGAAGTGGGCCATAAAGAATAAAACATCTTCATGGATATGAGAAGATAATATTTAAAAGAAGCCATGAAAATTGGGTATAATTTCAAAAATCAAAATATGGAAAGACAGGCAGTCTTAGACAGAGGCACAGAATTTGAGAAGAGAAAGACAAGATTGGAGAACAGGAAAATGTGGAGTAACTTGGTTGGAACATAATGCACATGGGACTGTTTTACCTGTCGGATCTGGCATCAGCCAGGGTCCCAAAAGAAAACAAATAGCAAAGGAATTAATTACAAAAGTGTGAGTTGGGACTAGGGAAATCAAAAAAAGAGTGTCAGAATTTGGGGCTCACAGCATTCTGGAGTCAAAGGTACAAGGGGCTGGAGAATTAATAGAAATCCTGAAAGGGGAGAGAATTGTGTAGAGCAGATCTCTTTGCAATAAGTAGCTGGGTGCAGTGGCTCACACCTGTAGTCTCAGCACTTTGGGAGGCTGAGGTGGAAGGCTTGCTTGAGCCCAGGACTCCGAGACCAGCCTGGACAAGATGGCAAGACCTCATCTCCACAAAAAGTTAGCCAAGCATGGTGGCATGGACTACTACAGTAGTCCCAGCTACTCCAGGGGCTGAGGTGGGAGGATCTCTTGATCTCAGTAGGCTGAGACTGCAGTGATCTATGATTGTGCCATTGCATTGCAACCTGGACAACAGAGTGAAACCCCATCATTAAGGAAAAAAAGAAAAGAGAACAGAAAGAAGTAGTGATTTTGGTCAAAGGACACAGTCAGCCCAAGGTGACCTTTCAAAGAGGGCAGAATAAATGCCCCAAATTCACTGTTGTCTCTTTCTCCAACCTCCTACCAGCATTCCGCATTGGTTAAATCCAATCACAATCTAGAAGGCTAAAGAGGATCCCATGTAGAATAGTCTCCCAGAGCAGAGAGCAGACTGGAGCTAGTAGGTGGTGAATTCCATAGGGAGTGGATCCAGATGGCAAAGGGAGGATCTCTTAGCCTAGGCCCTTCAGACACTGTGGAGCCTCTTGCATATTAGCTCCTCAGGGGCCCGCTCAAACTCAAAAATATTTGAGTGCTGGAGGGTGGGGTGGAGAATGTATTCACTCTGAAATACAAAAAAGACAACTGCAAAGCAAAAACTAATGCATAGTTAAATACATGTCTATAAAGAAAAGCATTATTTCATCTTCATTGATTATCACATTTAATGTCATAAAAGTGTTATTACTTGGAAAACAATCTATAAATTCGATTTTCTCTATATGGAAACATTCCTGAGTATACACGATGATTGCTGGAAAGGAACAGCCATCACAAATTAAATGCCAATAATTACATTGGAATAATTACAATGGAAACATATTCAAATTATTCCCAATTTTCGCAGCTAGATATTTTTATAGTAATATTTACACATATTATTTAGTTAAATATATATTTAATATTATACTTGACTATAATATGGTATGGAAAAATCTAAAGTAAGTTTTCCTAGGAACTATGGTTTTTGAGCATATATATAGAAATTTATATTTAATTTATTAGATGAGGTGAGATCTTGAATTTTTTTGTGCAGTAATTATCACATTTACAATTTAGGAAAATTAGCCTAGTAAGAATTGCCTTTTTAATACAGGTGAGAGAAACATGTCATAGAAACTAGTTATAAAGCTATTATAGTCACCCAAATGGGACAAAATAAGGTCTTGAACTTAGGTAGGAATGGAATGCAGGAGACAACTATGTACAGAACAGTAGGGGTAAATTCAAAGGACCCAGGAACTGATTGGAGATAGGGGTGAAAAAGAAGGAGAAGTCATTATAAGCTTCCAATATGGGAGGTTGTTATGAAATTCAGGAAGGGAAGCCTATTCAGAGAGAAAAATAATGAATTGAGCTTCAGAATGATTATTCATTTATTCCAAGTCTGTGAAGTGAAAGAAATTTTACTAAGCTTGGGTTATACTGATTAATAAGATGTTGTCCTAGCTCTTGAAATATCTAAACTAAATAACTAAACTACAATATTGAGTTTAAAATGCTTTTGGATGGGACAGAGGAAGGCAGAACAAAATTTATTACAAGAAATCTGAATTTGCAGCAAAGAATCATTCCATGCAAAATGTATCTTGATATGGAAGTGCCTATAAGCAGAGACCTATTTGAGTCTCTCATCTTCCTCAAGACCAGACTGAAGATATAAATAATCTTATACCCAAGGTCCTCCCCTATTTTCAGTATGCCAGTTCTATTTTTTCTAATTACATCAACATCAATATAAGATTGTTGAATATCATCTGGATTCTATCAGAGTATTCCATCTAACTTATTTGACACTGGCTCCTGCTACTAAAAAGTAAGGTAAATACATAATACTGGAGACAAACTGACCCATAGGCTGAACAAAATGGTCAGGATGACCATGAAGCACAAGCTTTGTCCAGCAGACTTCGATAATCCAGGAACCACTGAGGCACTGTTGAAATCAGAGGGTAAGAGTGCACACTCAGCTGCTGTGAATGTGAATTTCTGTAGAAACACTTTAAATAAAAGTCTTCTGTATATAAAACAGAGGATCATCACATTCTTATTCAAAAAAAAAAGCCACAAATGCTTTGTGACAATACTTTGTTCCTTTGATAATAAATACATCAATCTATCAAGAACTTGTTGAGATCCATGTTTGTTTCTTGTGTAGGTAAGCAATACATAGAAGTTAGTAGCACGTGTAGATCTACATACATTCATTATCTTCGACATCTGGAGCTGTTCACACTCTCAAAATTTGTGTCAATAATTTTTGAGGACAAGTTTTAAGCGGTGCATGATCTGAGAACCTCAATACTACTCTCACTCCCAACTACTCCTGACCACTGTCATCCCTGTTTATTAGTTCCCAACTGTTCAGCAGATCAAAAGGTGGCTTCACAAGGAAGAACCTGTGGCAGGCAATGCAACAGCCTCCCAGATTCCTCTTCCTTTGGTAGAGCCACAGTATGCCTCTCTTCTCCTGTGAAAATTTACTTGTGCGACTGATCTAAGGAGCAAGGCAGTTAGTAGGCTATCAGCTGGAAGGGCCTGATTTGGCTGCCCATGCTAAATGCTAATAATTGATAAGATTTTGTTATTGGTTTCCTTTCACCTTCATCTTACTGTGCTAGGTAATGGAGATTTTATACCATCCATAACAAAACTAAATTTTATTGTAGTTATATAATTATATAGATATGTAATTTAAAACACATATATGACCTAATAAAAATATTACATAAGTTTCTGTCTCAGTGACTGTAACCAGATTATAAATTTATAATGAATATGTCAGTGGACACCGGCCAATATGTCACTGTCAAACCTGTTGGTATCTTATGCATCTTACCAGCAAAATGGCTCAGGAAAAACTCAACTGGCATACAAACACAAACCTATAAAATGACAAGATACAATCAATAAACCTACAGCAAGTAGTCTAACACTTAGAAGGAATCATGTTATTAGGGCTCAGCCACACTTGGTTATCTTCGTATCATCTCATGTTGATTTTTCTTTGCTCTCTACAACAGGTGCTGGACGGTTCCCCCATTGAAGTCACCCTAGCAAAACCAGTGGACAAGGACAGTTATGTTAGGTACACCCGAGGCACAGGTGGAAGGGGCACCATGCTGCAAGGAGAGTACACCTACTCTTTGGGCCAAGTTTATGATCCCACCACAACCTACCTTGGAGCTCCTGTCTTCTATGCCCCTCAGGCTTATGCAGCAATTCCCAGTCTTCATTTCCCAGCCACCAAAGGACACCTCAGCAACAGAGCCATTATCCGAGCCCCTTCTATTAGAGGTAACTCCAGTCAGATCTTGCTTTAGAGTAATCCTAAAATTTCAAATGACTCAAATTGCAGTAGCCTTAGATACATTGGAAGGGTCCACTGGGAGAAAAGCACTGAAAATTTTTTTTATTAAAAAAATCAAGTATTATATCAATAGTTTTCCTTTGATAGGAGTCTTTTTTCACATTACAACTGGTTATTGAAAAAACGTGGTCAGAACATTGTGCAAATGAGCCTAGTGCACAGATTCAACTTTACATGGGTCCATAAAATTTGCACAAACTAAAACCTAGTTCTATAACTGTTAGCTTCTTTTGTATCACTTGTCCACCATTGTGCAGTCATCTGTGGCTCATTACAACACTTCTGGAATAGACCAGTATAGTCCAGTGGAAACCAATTACCTCAAATAGCAAAACCCTTTCAAGGCATGTGTGTATTTGATGGTGACTCAGTGGCATTGTCTTAATATACAAATCACAAATTATTATAAATATAATCTAACAGACACATGAGAGGTTCTCATCTGATGTCCTCCAAGAAATATGTGTTATATTTTCTTAAAAGCCAAATTATTAAGGAAATTACTATATTTCTTTAGTACATGAAGCACTAAATAAACACCAAATAGAAAAAACCCTCAATCAGGCTGCTAATAAAACAATAAACATTTCACATTTGAATCCTGTAAGAATTCTAAATGTTTGAGTAGTTTTCCAAGCTCCATTTCTTCAAGGAAGCTAGAAGATAAAGAAAGCCTTTATTTTATTTCCAAGAAACTAGCTTGTCCCTGCCTTTTTGGCTCCTTCAGATTAGTTTTTCTAGGATGTGGCTAACGCCAACTGAATTCCAGTTCTGTCCTCTAAATACGACATGAATCTGGGCAATTCGATAAATAAACTGTGTATTTAAGTCTATTCTTGGGTTTGACATAGAAGCAAAGAGGCACATCTAGATTACTGTGGAAACAATTATCTTACTATGTTTTACTATTTTTCAGTATAATTGAATTGATCATCCTAGGAGCTCTAGTCTTCAACGGCCTAAAAAGTTTCATACTCATAATTACTTGCCCCAAAATTTTAATGTAAATTAAGTAATCAGGATTTCCTTTAGGATAACTTGTCTATGTGACAATAAATTATATCATTGTAACATTATGCATTTATAATGAAAAATCACATCATTAACCAATCCATACATTAAATACAAATTGTCAACCAGTTATGATGTAGAAAAAAACAAACTCCACTATAACGGAAAAAAATGCCTATCTTATAACAAGAAAGGAATCAATGAATGATATTCATGGATGAAGGGTAATCAATTTAATTTTGTATCTCTATGCCATCAACATAAAATCAAAGTAGCAACATGGCAAAACAAAAATCAAAAGGAATCTATGCATGAAACTCAATGGAAACTTAAGCCTCACATTGACCGAACATCAGAGAGAGGATGGTGAACCTAAAAGCATGCTTTCTAAATGCTTGTTTTCCAATAAGTCACTGGAGGTGGGATAATTAGAGAAGCCAGAATTTATTTCTAATATGCTGATTAGTGACAGTCTCTATGTAAGACTGATTTCAAAACAAGTGGTCGCATTATGTTGGAATGTTGTAATAAATACATTCCCAGTCTTTATTAGTCTATATTAGAAAATATCAAGAAAAGGTAACCTAAAGACAAAAATTGCAAAATTTCTCTCCCAACATTTTTAAGTTGCTTATGTACTTATCAACAGTATTGTACTTATCAATGGCATCGCTATCTTCTGAAGGTAGTTTTTCAAAAAAGAGAAAGACACCTATGTTAAACCTTACCTTATGTTGAGTTTCATTACATTAGAATCCTAGAGTTTCCCACCCATCTTCAGGGCAATAATCAACGTGAATTGGGCTAACTTTTCCATTACAGTAAGATTCAGGGTGATTTTCTGGTGGTTTGATTCAGTTTAATGCCTTCTTACATTCCTAGAAATTTACATGAATGTACCTGTAGGGGCTGCGGGAGTGAGAGGACTGGGCGGCCGTGGCTATTTGGCATACACAGGCCTGGGTCGAGGATACCAGGCCAAAGGAGACAAAAGAGAAGACAAACTCTATGATATTTTACCTGGGATGGAGCTCACGCCAATGAATCCTGTCTCGTTAAAACCCCAAGGAATTAAACTCGCTCCCCAGGTAGGTAATGTTATTCCAGAAATAGTTTCTTTAAGTTGTGCCAATGAGCATCATTCACTTTTACCAAATGATTTGACTTGATCCCTACTCAAGCTATGGGGTTTTTTTTTCTTTTAATATATAAAGCATTCAATCAATGTCACACCCTTTGAGGGAATGCTGGGCATCAGGTGCCGTTATTCTATTATAGGTCCTTTCTCTTTTTAAAAAAATCTTAAAGCTTAACACCTTGAACAATATTCCACTGAAATGCAAAGAATCTGAGAGCTATTAAGAATTATCAACCCATACCCTAAATGAAAATAAAATGAGGCAAAGACACCATCTCAGAATAAATGCCTATTGTATGTCAGCCAGGTTGGTTGGCAAATGAAGGGCATTATGGCAGAGCCCTGAATAGACCATTTAGGACATCTTTTCTTGGAAATACTGTATCTAAGAGAAAACTCCACCATGATATCTAGGTGAATTATGAACTATGAGATGTCGTCAGTCATACCAAATTAACTTTTCCTCCATAGTTATATTGCGGCAGTGGCATTACAGAGAGGGGTTTTTTTTGTGTTCATTTAAGAGTTCTAAGTTTCCATACTTCAACATTAACCTGTGTTTTTTATTACTGGAAAATTAAAAGTTATACAAGTTTCAATACGGAAACTGACTCCCAGAGTTAAAAATAAAACAAAACAGGGTCTATGCTAACCCTGAGACTGTTCCCTGTGGGAGTGTGATAGGTGCTGATCTCTCTGAAATATATTTTGGCTGAATAATCAGTTATAGTTTGTGTGTCTTAAAGGAAACTTCCCTATTCCCATGACAAAGGTAGGCTTATAGCCCCACATTTATGGAAGTAGCCCTTATAATTTCAATCCAGAAGAAAACTTGGTTTTCTAAAAGCTCATCTTGGGTAATTTTTCAATGGGATTTCTGACTTTCTTTTATGCACAAATTAGCTTATCTAAGGTTTCTGCTAGCCCCACCCAGGGAATTAAAAAAAAAGAAAGCCTACCAGAGTGCTAAACAGCAATCATTTGTTTGTTCACAAAAGATTTAGTAAACTTCTCTTATGCACCATGTAGTGCACTAGGTGCTGGAGATGCAGAAGTGAATATAAAAAAATCCTTACCACCAAAAATTAGATGGCAATCCAGTGGGAAAAAAACTGACACATAAACATATAACCATAATGAAATCTGGAAGTGATATGATGAAGTTTGTTCAGAAAATATAAAAGCCAGTCACCCAGTTTTGGGTTAAAACCCAAAACCAAGAACCTGATTAAAGTACTGGAATCCTTAGAAATATTTTAAGAAAATAAAAAATAATAGTCACAAAGTCTGTATAATAGTAGTTCTGATAGCTGTGATAGTATGAAAAGAGATCTCTTCGTTTCACGTCAAACTCAAGTTAGAAATTCATCATGTCTTATATTAATATGTCAGTAATAATCTCTATCAATTAATAAAAGTGTCTCTGTCCCCAGAAAAATAACTGGGGACAGCCAGTGTACCCGCTGCACTCTGCTATTGGACAAGACCAAAGACAACTATTCTTATACAAAAGACAAATTAATAATATTGTTCTCTGACCTTCTACAACTATGGCTTAGAAATGAACACCATGCCACCACCAACCAATATAGATGGGGCCTAAACAACCCCAAAGTAGAGTTATGAACTTCCAGCCAGAAGCAGAGACAAATACTGCCCTGCAAAGTTAGCAGTGAGAGCTGGTGTTCCTTCCACCCGGGTTTGCTCACCTGGCATAAACAGGCAGGCATCATATCTACCAGCAAAAGCTCCATTATTATTGCCCAAGAACTGCAGAGAATGCTCTGAGGATGACAAGAGATCCTACACAACAAGAGTATTAAAAAGAAAATGTCAATAGAGAAAATAGGAACAATCTACAAATTAATAAACTGGAAAATATCATGCTATTGCAGCTGGGTTAGTTAGCATAAATGAGGTAAGAAACCCCAGAGACACATCCTGAGGCACTGTTCTGTCTTCCAGAGTTATTTTCTCAGCCTTATGCCCTGCTTTCCACAGTCTACTGAATCTGCTGACTAACGAGAGCGTCAGGACCTCTGGACAACCAAAAATGGCTTCAGAATAAAGAAACTATGAATCTTTAGAAAATATTCAGTTTGGAGTAATTACAGAAGAAAACAACGTGCAGGAGGATGCTAAAAAGCATATTGTCATTAAGCAAAAGAAAAAAAAAAGCCAGAAATAGTGTCTTACCAAACAAATAAAAACATTACAACTGTCAACACCCGTCTAGGAATGCTCAGTAAATACCAATCCCTTAAACTTTTTAATTCTATTTTTATGAAATTGTGAGATTAAAACCCTATGGCAAATGACATGAAATAAAAATATATTCTTAGGTTATCATCTCTAAACGATTATAAACACAGAGACTGAGGGTAATAATGAGTAAATCTATACAAATCTATGCACACAGTGTTGGAGCAACAGTTTTTACAAAAACAAATATTCCAAACAAATCATAAAATTAAGCTTTTGGTAAAAAGTTACAGCTAATGGACTAAACTAAAAATATATTACAGTAAATGGTGTGAAAGTGATTTTATGAACTAATAGACCTAACATTTTAAATGGAGTTCAAATTGAGTTCATCTTAAATTTTATGAGTCATTAAACCATGTGGCATTTTATATCTTCTGATATTAGCTTGAACTCTGAAAATTAGAGTTTAAAAATCTGAAAACTTGGGATATAATGTGAATGTGTCATTTGAGGGGAAAATAACTTTTTTTATTCTTGTAGATATTAGAAGAGATTTGCCAGAAAAATAACTGGGGACAGCCAGTGTACCAGCTGCACTCTGCCATTGGACAAGACCAAAGACAACTATTCTTATACAAAATAACCATTCCTGCCCTAGCCAGCCAGAATCCTGCAATGTGCGTAACTTCTCCAAATTCCTTACCATTTTAGAGCAGGATACGCTTGTAAATTAAATGCACTTAATCACCATCTAAACAAGATACTGAGGTCTACTACCTACTCATTTGTCATTAAATGTAAGCATTGAGATGTATAGTTGGGATGTGCCAGCCATGAAGCTGGCATATAAAGGCCCCCAAATTTCATAGACACAATGAAGGTTGTGTAGTATCACCAACCATTGGAAAACAGTCAGTAGTGTAAAATGTAATAGAAATAAAAACTATAGCCCATTCTTGGCTGGGCGCGGTGGCTCATGCCTATAATCCCAGCACTTTGGGAGGCTGAGGCAGGTAGATCACTTGAGGTCAGGAGTTTGAGACCAGCCTGGCCAACATGGTGAAACCCCATCTCTACTAAAAATACAAAAATTAGCTGGGTGTGGTGGCAGGCGCCTGTAGTCGTAGTTATTAGGGAGGCTGAGACAGGATAATCACTTGAACCTGGGAGGTGGAGGTTGCTGAGATCATGCCACTGCACTCCAACCTGGGCAATAGAGTGAGACTCCATTTCAAACAAACAAAGCTATAGCCCATTATTTCATCTGTGCAATGTTTAAGTTGAAGCATATGAAATTACCATTTTTATACATAATAAGACAATGGCCCATCATTTAATTTGGGACCACATATATGACCTCTCTGTTAGCGGATATCACCTCCTGAATTTTACCATGAGCCGGCACTTCTATATCTTTTAGAAACAATTTGTTTCACTTGTGCTTTAGAAAAGGCATGTAGTGAATTATTTGTATGTCCCAGGAATGTCATAAACCACTGATGTTCTAGATCAATTTGTAAATATTCCTACATGCAACCTATATTTAGAAACTTTAATAGCAAACAGAATGTAAAACACCCACTCAAAAAACCACCATCCAGTCATTTTACAAAACTGATAGTGCCTTAGGTTTTCACCTGACTCAGTTGTACCAGTTTAAAAATGCCTACCCTGACTGACTTGCTTTCCAGCCACCCTTTCACACCTCCGAAGCTGAGTGCCTATGTGGATGAAGCAAAGACGTACGCAGCCGAATACACCCTGCAGACCCTGGGCATCCCCACTGATGGAGGCGATGCTGGCACCATGGCTACTGCTGCTACTGCTTTCCCAGGTATGGGAAAATTGTGCCAGAAATGGCGCCCTGCAGAGAGTATTTGGGAAACCCTTTTTTGGTACCATTGAATCATAGAAATGTTTGTGTACCCCACTTACAGCAATCTGACTTGCACCACCTTGGGACCAAAAAGAGTTTCCCAAATGAGTGACTCATTAAAACACAAGGCAAGAAAATCAAGCTGGGCAACAGAGTGGGTTCTGGTCTTGGCTCAGCTTTAAACTGCTGTGTGATCTTGAATGAGTCAGTCTCTCTGAGTCTGGTTTGTTTTGGTTTTTACTTTTAGTAAGAGAGTTTGAAACTACCTATAGATATATGATGTTTATTGGAGCTCTTACTGTGTGCTAGGCACTCACCTAAATGGTCAGGAAGCATTATAATATCTTAGTAACGCTCATGATACCACCAAGAGTTAGGTTCCATCAGAAGGTCCAGTACACAAATGAAGAGCCCATGTATGAAAAGATTAAGTAATTTGGCCAATGGCAATTAGCTTTTCAGCAATTTTTTTCTCCCTCTCCAATCTTCAATCTACTTTTATTAATTTGATTCCAAAAGAGATTTTTTAAAGTCAAAAATTGTGTGTGTGAGAGTGAGAGACAGACAGAGATCCTTTCAATATGTGAATAATCAGGACTCAACTTATTTGTTCTATAATTTTGGTCTGGGGCATATGCTGATTGCTTAAAGCAAAGCCTATCTGTGGATCAAAAATGCGTTCAGAGGTCATATGTTAAAAGACTTGTCCCCATTTATTATGTACCCACAACAAATGGTAATAATTAAAAATGAATCCTTTAGAGACTGAAGGGGACCAGGAAGAAAGTTGTTTAGGAAATTTTTTCTCAGATGAAAATTTTTATCCTTTTTTTTTTTAGTAAAAGATTATTTCTATTGAAGAAATCTATCATTTTGACTTGTCACTGTGTCAGCATGTTCTACATAAGTCCAAATTAGAGCTCTAAGTATACCTAGAAAGATGACATTCTTATCGATTAATTAATTCATATACTGGTCATGTGTAGGTGTGAGAAATTTTATATTCCTCACACCCACTGCACCTGGGGCTCATTCGCAGCATTTTGTTTTGTTTTGTTTTCTCAAAAGTTGTGAATATATCCTCCATTCTGGTCAGTGAGGCTAATATTAATGATGTTTCACATCTGAAAGTGACCTCAATTCTGGCTTTGTTTCTCTGTAAGAACATGGAGACGCTCTGTGGTGAGTCCCTCAGAGGTTACCAAGGTAATAGCTGACACTGCAGAGGGCAAGGTCCTTCCTGGGCAGTGCGGGGCCAGCAGCCGGTGCTTGCTTTCCACATAACAGGGTGTTTACATGTCCATGTACTCAGGACGCCTGCTAGGGCTTCTCAGTTCTTAGAGAAAGTTGAGCTCCTGTCTTGCAGAAAGCTGCACCCCAAAGACACCTAACAAATGTACTATTAAACTAATGAGCCACTGTCAGAAGAATTTCAAAGTTTGCTTTCACATTGGAAAGGATTTGCTTTTACCCAAGAATGTTTTATCTTATTCTCACTTCTATTGGCTTCTGTGAAAAGTTAAAAATATTTGGGGTATGAGTGTTGTCTGGGGAATGCCTAAGAATCTGAGAGCCTCTCTTATAACTTTGCTGTGGAGTCAAGCAAAGAATAATAGGCTCCAAGGGAAGAATCGGTTTGAAACCCAAACACCTTGGCACTTAACAAATTTACCAAGTTGAAAAACAAAATTCAAAATCCCTAAAGGTAAAATATGTGCCGCGAACACATGCATGCATGTGTGCACACGCTCACGCAATTATATTACTCACTTAGTTTAGAAATACTGTTTCCAAAATTATGAAAGTAACTGTTAACACATGTCTCCTATCCTTGGAAAATGGACCAAACTTCTCTAGTGCATTAATCAGCATTACTGACCAAAGTGAATGCGCCAAGAATGGATTCAATTTTTGTTCAAAATAATCCAACCAGCTTCCTGCCACCACTTTCTGAGAAGCCACCAGAAAAAAATCAATGTGTCTGGGGTTGGGCAGGCTTCTACCGCACATAAACCAAATGAGGTTTAAAACAACAATGAAAAACAGGTGTCCATTTGTACTTAAGTATACTTCTCTCTTTCTCTTGTTATCTTTTACAATTTCTGGATCATCTCAGAAATACTCAGGTTTTTAGACTAAAACAATACAGAGAAATAATGCTTTAGATGGTAGCTAATATGCTCTCTTCTTCAAAAGTGAATGTTCATCCACTAGACACAATGCTAACATGAAAGCGCATAGATTTTTTTTTTAATTCTTGGATACTTTGGTTCTCTGAGGGGGAGAACCAGCATCAAGGCCTCTGAATACACCAAGCACAGGCTTGATGAGGGGCTTGGGAGGTACGAAGGTCTTCTGCCATTCATAGTTAGATCTAAATATGGACAGGTTAGGCATTTGCTTTTAAGGTATTATGGAGAACTACACTTAACCATTACAGTATTTCTCCTACTGATCTCCCAGTCTCTACACATCTTCTCGGGTAAAGGCAAATGTTTTCTTTTTTTTTTTTTTTTTTTTTTGAGACGGAGTCTCGCTCTGCCGCCCAGGCTGGAGTGCAGTGGCCAGATCTCAGCTCACTGCAAGCTCCGCCTCCCGGGTTTACGCCATTCTCCTGCCTCAGCCTCCCGAGTAGCTGGGACTACAGGCGCCCGCCATCTCGCCCGGCTAGTTTTTTGTATTTTTTAGTAGAGACGGGGTTTCACCGTGTTTGCCAGGATGGTCTTGATCTCCTGACCTCGTGATCCACCCGTCTCGGCCTCCCAAAGTGCTGGGATTACAGGCTTGAGCCACCGCGCCCGGCCAAGGCAAATGTTTTAAATGTTTCATTTAGGCAGGTGTGGGGTTGCAGGAGAACCGGTCCCACAGAGCCCCACCTCCCCACATACCATGCCTGGCCAGCCCCTCAGTCACCTTTTCTCATTTATAAATTTGGAAACCTTCAAAAAGTTATAAATCACAAGCTTTAATCAACTCAGCATCCTGTTAAGTTTCTCTTTCTTGGGCCCTATCCCAAGCATCTTTAATTCTCTTAAGTATGAAGTGATTCTGACACAGGTGGTTGATCCCACTTTTGGGAACATTGTCCTAGGACTTTTTGAATGTGATTGAAAATCACTGAGTCCACATATTGTGTCCTTAAGGGCACTTTTTAAAACATACATATTAACTTTTAGCTTTAAGTAATATGTTAAAAGTTCGTATGTCTAAAAGAAGACAAATAAGCCAAAAGGGAGCAAATGTGAATTCCTTTCATGAAGTTTTCTCTGCCTCTTCCTCCAGGATATGCTGTCCCTAATGCAACTGCACCTGTGTCTGCTGCCCAGCTCAAGCAAGCGGTAACCCTTGGACAAGACTTAGCAGCATATACAACCTATGAGGTCTACCCAACTTTTGCAGTGACTGCTCGAGGGGATGGATATGGCGCCTTCTGAAGATACTTTTTTAAATTTAAGAATAAGACACACAAAACTCTATTAAAAAAAAAAAAAAAAAAACCTCTAACTCGGTCCCCCAATGATCATAAATAATATCTTTCCTAAAGAAATGCCTTTCCAGAGACAGTATAGCTTATATCAATTGTAGAATGGTGAAGAGCGTTCACGACTGTAGAATCCGAAGAACGTAAGAACGTTATTCTGAAATGAAATCAAATGTTAAAGAGCATTTTGTTTAACAGAAAGCTGGAGAGCCACTGCCCCAAAAGTTGTTCTTCCAATGTTCCTGAGTGTTTGGGGAGCATGTTTACAAATCCTGCCAGGGTGGAGAGAGATCTTTTAGCTGGCAAGAGTTGGGAGGGACAGAGCAGACCCGGGCAGTCAGTAACAATCAAGGGAAGCCAAGTAAACTCCAGAGTCTTACCTCTGGCTCACAGCTGCTTTTGTGATACACAAAGTCACAAAGAGGAAAAGGGAAGGGAGGAGGCTGCTTTTCAAAATGCATGCACCATGGCTCACTGTATGGGGCGTGATTGCAGGGCTAAGCTCATGAAAGACTATCCAAGATTTTGTGGGTTCAACTTCTCTTCAGCCTGAAAATTCCATCCAGTCCATTTGTCACAGATCAGGATCTTCCTGTCCCCTGCAGCCCATAGGGACTTCCTAGAAATAGATATGATATGTTGTAGGTATGGTCGAAACAAATACAGGCCCCATTGTTTATTCAGCTCATTAGTCCACACCTATTTTTCCCTAGAACTCCTACCTTTTCCAATAATCATGCCAACATGAAATGACCTTTTCTAATTTAAAATTTTTTGACTTGTTCATAGTGACTGATTTTCATCATCTCAGACTTATTTTTCTCCTACCTAATATCATAAAAAAGTAAATCAGATATACAGAATATCATTTATGATACTTCTTCCTTTCAGCAAATTGACTGAAAAGCCATTTTAAAGAGAGAAGTGCAGATTTGTTCTCATTTCTTTGATATTGTTGCAGTATCCACCCCGCCAACTAGCAATCAGAGACAGTTATATTAACTTGGGGTTAGCTTTGAATTATCTAACCCATTTATTTTCAATCTTCCAGGAGATCCTCTAACTTTCCTTCCTTTTTGTTTTAATAAATATCAGGCGGCTTCACCATACCTGAGTCCTTTTGTCTTGAAGCTGCCACAGAAAAATCTTACATCAATCATTGCTGATTAGAAACTGTTTCAGACAATTAGCATGGGTGTTATTTACCAAATTCCCCCTAGAGTCCTGGACCTCTTCTCCAGGAACATCTGATGATGAAGTGGGGGAGGGCAACGGCGCTACAAAACCCGGAACTGAGGTAAAGAGAAGGCACTACTTTCTTGCCATACTTGTAAATGATTGCTTTGTTCAAACATAAATAATCTAAGTCCAACACCAAATACCTGTTACTCCTACATCAGTCTCATTAGTGGTTTAAGACACAGTACTAGAATTTTCATTTTTTAAAATCCCTTGGCGGCCAGGCGCGATGGCTCACGCCTGTAATCCCAGCACTTTGGGAGGCCGAGGTGGGCGGATCACGAGGTCAGGAGATCGAGACCATCTTTGCTAACACGGTGAAACCCGTCTCTACCAAAAATACAAAAATTAGCAGGGCGCGGTGGCGGGCGCCTGTAGTCCCAGCTACATGGGAGGCTGAGGCAGGAGAATGGCGTGAACCCGGGAGGCAGAGCTTGCAGTGAGTGGAGATTGCACCACTGCACTCCAGCCTGGGCGACAGAGCGAGACTCCGTCTCAAAAAACAAACAAACAAACAAATCCCTTGGCCCTTAAATAAAAATTTACAGAACACAAAGGAAAACATAAACACAAAGACATGGAAAATTTTGTCAACTCCTTAAAAGAATTCTGTGATCCAAAAGCAGGCAAGATTCTAATCAAAATCAGGTAAATTTCAATCACAATCAGAAGTACTTGTAACATTTCAGTTGTCCTAACTCCAATGAGATAACAAAGCCTCCAAGTCTACAGCTGAAACTCTGAAAGACCCTGTGCTTTCTATTTTACATTTAGCTTCTAATATTTCTTAGGACAGTAGTCCCCAAAGTAGGCTGTACATTAGAATCTCCTGGAGAGCTTTTAAAAATGCTAATGCCAATATCATATCTCATAACATTTACACTAGAATTTCTTTGGATGGGTGCCTGGCATCAGTATTTTTTAATGATCTCTAGGTGATTTCAATGTGCACCTAGGTTTGGGAATTGCTATATTCTTGCATTTATACTCTATCTCTTAATTTCTTTTCCTTTTTATTTCACTTTTATTAAATAGAAAAAGTGCAATTAAAAAAATCATCTAAGTTAAGACAAATAGCCAAATCATATTTGTCCCTTAAATAGTATGAATTTAAATATAACTTATGTAGGCTTCAAACTAACTCTAAAAATGAGAAAGTAAAACAACCTTGTCCTAAAACAATTCTTAGATCCAAATTTACACTCCCCTACAGATCTGCTTTTATTCTCAAAGACAGTAATTACATTGACATAACAAATGCCCATTGGAGCAGGAAAATTTCTACTCCATCTAAAAAGCATTCCAAATTCTAGAAGCAAAAGTTCTGATTTTCCTTAAAATCTTTGCAAATAAATAGCAAAGGTTTTTTGTCTTGTCAATGCAAATTAGGTTTGATTTAAAGAAGTTTTAAATTTAATCAAAATGAAAAGATTAGTTAATACAGGAATCTCTTTATGGGAAAAAAATCATTATTCTGGATAAAGTCATAATTGCTTTTTTACAAGATTAAGAGCAGACACCTAAACATACAATAATACCAAAATATTGAGAAAATTACCACTGGAACACCATCCCAAGTTATCACACCATTTACCTCTTTGGAGCCAGTTTTCTACAAGTAGGTAGATGTGGTTTTGGGTTTTTTGCTAAAATTTTACCTTGTTTTAGTAATATCTAGGAAATACTTTGAATTCCATTAAAATAAATTCATAGAAAGTGTTCATGTGTCTACCATGCCATATGTTTATTTTTATTTTCCCCAAGTTAAGTAGATAAAGCAAGTCCTGCTACCGTAAGTTTAAAACTGTTAAGACAACGGGTTTTTTTAAATTGCTGGTAGAACCAAAGGCTAATTCTGCATAAGGTTTATATTTTTAGACTTAAGATAGTAGCACCTATTTAATACCTTCATACCTTCTGCATCACTATCAATTTTTCTATAATTTCTTATTTGAATGCTTCCTAATTCCTTACGGAGAAAATTAAAATTAGTCAGCCAACCAGGTGATAATAACAAAACAATAATTTAGGAACATCCAGTAAATTTGAATTGATTCTGTAAATTTTGGTAATTAATAGCTTATTGATAAATAAAATCACCTTAATGTTGCTTAAGTAGGAGGAAATTGATCAGCAATGAGATTGGGTATCTATTTTCTTTCCTATAAAAATCTGCCTCTTTTCAAATTGCTTTACTTCTCTCCTACTGCATTAGTAACAGCACCTTCAACTGCAACAACATATAATTCTCCTAGTTGACTAGGATATCCTCCAATCTGGTATCATGCCAAACAACACTGTGTTTGGGGAACAGCACCCAAAATGCTGCTAAAAAGCTACCTCATGTCAAGAAAATATGGATTTCAAAAAATACTTGGCACAGTGGCCCATGCCTGTAACCCCAGTAGGTCAAGGCAGGAGGATTGCTGGAGGCCAGGAGTTCAAGACCAGCCTGAGCAACATGGAAAGATGCCTACCTCTCCAAAAAAAAATTTAATTGGCCAGGTGTGGTGTGGGCCTGTGGTCCCAGCTACTTGGGAAGCTAAGGCAGGGGGATTGCTGGAGCCCCGGAGGGCAAGGCTGCAGTGAGCCATGTTCACATCGCTGCACTCCAGCCTGGGTGACAAAGTAAGATTCTGCCTTCAAAACAAACAAAAATAAATATCTAACAAAAAGGGACCTGTTTCCAAATCACAGTTTCTTAACTTTTTCAAGGTGGAATAGAAATTAAACTATAAGTATATACTGATAACAGCTGTGTAGGAAATTGGTTTTTATTTTACTTAAAAGTATTTTTTAGAAAAAAATATTCTTCTGATTGCATAGATTAGCAAAATATTGCATCAATATAATTTTCCATTTTCATTAATTTTTGTTATATTCTAATGACTGTTTTATAATTCTGTCTTGGATAACTGGGCCACAATTCGAATGCACATAGACAGGGATGTTCTTAGGTGTGCCATTTGTAGAATAAAGGGCAATCAAGTTATTATTTGGGGTAAATTTTCATTGCATTTTAACCTATGAAGTTTGATAAAGTATATGATCGTTGAACTACTCCAACACTAAGATTTCCTAAAAGTAAAAACTTACCAAAAAAAAAAAAAAAAAAATTAACAATGTGCTCAATAGTCACATAAAGTCATGATTATTCTCTTCTTGCATTCATATAAAAGTTCCCAGGGGGATGAAAATGTATCTAAAAATTAGACTAGAAACTTGGCACTTTTATATATTGTAGATACACTTTCATATATTGTAGATACACTTTCATATATTGTAAATACATCTGTTAAAGATAAAGCTAAGTTTCTAACATAGGACTACAAGGAAACTTTGGATAAATATTTTTAAAAAGAGAATATTAATAGGATAACTTAACATTTTGTGTATAATTATTGGAAGACAGAAAGAAACTAGGCAGTAAATATTCCTACCTGACATGCAACCATTGTCAAATAGGTTTCGCTAAATTGTCAAATTTGATTTTGAAATTTTAGTTTACTCGAATAATATCTTGAAAATGCTCTGAATTTTGCTAGAACATATTCATAGAAAATGTAATGTATCTACCAGGCTCTATGTTTGTGTCTGCCAACATTAGAAAAACAAAGTAAGTTGAGCTATAATGAGTGAAACTAAGGAAAATGAGATTTTTCTGACTCTCATTCCTTCTCTTTATTTAAGCAGTAAAATATTTAAACTTTTTTTATTAAATGAAAAATTGGTACAGAATACTCTATTACCCACCAAATGTCCAATATTTTTAAAGCCATGTTGTCTAACAAAGTTTATACAGAAAATAGAATGTATAGGTTTAATATAGATAGCAATGTATATGTAGGCTCATTTGTGGGAGATTGCAAACTTTA